TCGACCAAGTGGGTCTCCCGGGTCGAGACCCACTTGGGTTCTCTGAATGCCCTAATTTAATGAGAAATGTGCAAGAAAAGATACAATTTTGAAAAATATTTTTACATTTTTTTGTCAATTTCTTTTTTCGTTTTTGACCAAAAATGACATGAAAGTTCAGATATTGACAAAAACTTTAATAAAAATAAATTTCAAAAAGTTTTCTCTGAAAGCCCTATTTTGATGAGAAACATGCAGGAAAAGATAACATTTTGAAAAATAATTATTTTGGAATTTTTCAGCAAAATCCCAAGTTCACATTTTATATTGTTCTGACTATGAAAAAATATGAAACGTTTTTTCGAAAATATTCTTTACTTGTCTGCATGTTTTTCATCAAATTAGAACATTTTGAGAAATCTTTTACAGAAAAAAAGAAATTGTAATCTTTCAGCAGATTCCAAATTCCGCATTTCACGTTGGTGAAATGTAAAAATTTGATGAAAATGTTTGTATCTTTTCTGCATGTTTCCCATCAAATTAGAGCATTTTGAGCAATTTATCATTTCATCTTGGTCAGATGGTGAGAAATTATGGCGAACATTGTTTAATTGTTTTTCAAAATGATGTCTTGTCTGCATGTTTTTCATCAAATTATAACAGTTTGAGATCTGAAAAAAAAAACATTTTGGAATTTTTCAGCGGGGTTCCCTAGATGTGTGTAAAACACTTAAAACCACCATTACGTGCATTTATTTAATTTCTATTAAAAGGTCAGCTTTTGATTGGTTAAATTTTACAAAGGAAATCTTTATTTACACATATTCAATATGTAAAAAATTCCACTTTGAAAAACCGCCAACATAGTTTTCTATCTTATGTGCCACACTTGAGAATCCCTATATATACGATTGAGATTGGAAAATTATCAGATTTATAAATATTTGCAAATAAAAAAAAATTGCATCAATTCTGCACAAAAAAGATTAGGCCATGAGATTTGTGAACACCATGGAAGGATTTATTCAAACAAAACTGGACTCACAATTGTGAACACACTACAACACAAAAGGCACCTTTAGTGTTTGAATGCATTATTGAACCTCTAAGTATTTCTTTTCAGTGTCACAGTGACCAGTGTCTCCGAGGAGGACATTTCACTTGTACTTGTAAAATCCTTCTCCAGTCTTTTTGCCATATTTGCCTTCAGCAACCAACTTGTTCAACAACTCACTCGGAGTAAAGAGCAGGTTGTCAGGATCCTTAGCACTCCAACCTGAATCATGCAATAAAAAAGGAAGCCTGGTTTATTTCAATCTGATGTTATTCCTAATCATTACTCAGTTTAAGTGTCTTTTTTTTTAACTGACCTGGATGACTGAGAATATTCACAAATAAAGTGTCTTATTTTGTTTATTCCAGTAGGATGTTAACTTAATGAAACTGTCTATGTTAACTGCCTTAACTGCTGACACCTACTTTACCACCTTATTGCATGTTCAGAGCTGGCGTTAGGGAGCATGTGAACACATTCCCTGTAAAACATTTGATGACTTATTATTCACTCACCGTCCATGATAAATTTCATTGTGTCTAATCCAACATAATCCGAAAGCTCGAATGGTCCCATGGGATAACCTGCACCGAGTTTCATTGCAATGTCAATGTCCTCTTTGGATCCATGACCTGAGAAAGTGAGTTAAAAGTAAACGTTATAAACAATTTAAAAAATAATAATAATGCTGACTTTGTTTAATAGTCTTGTGCCCCTTCTGCTGACACTGTACACAGAAACACTCACCCCTCTCGTGCAGACGAATGGCCTCCATTATGTAAGGAACAAGCAGCCTGTTTACAATGAATCCTGGAGTATCCTGAGTAAAGACTTTGGGTGAGACTCAACATTCTGTACGAGGACGCAGAGGGGACGGCTTTAGGCAGCGGCTTTTACCTTGCAGGAAACTGGTGTTTTTCCAAGCTCTTTGCTGAAGTTGAAGAGGGCGTCAAAGGTCTCTTGACTTGTAGCTGAAGTTCCAATAACCTGGAAATATTTTTTTTTTTTAAACATTCAGTTAAAATGTCTGATTCTGTTTAAACAATTAAACCATTTTTGTTCATGATACAATTTTATCACAATTGTTTTTTTTAAATAAAATGAGCTCCAGACCAATTATGACCAAATATAATGACCTTTTTTGTAAGAACTACGAACTAATACATTACCAATTGCAATGGTCTTGTATGCATGTATTATATATATTAAACAACCAAATATATGTTATACGTGTTCTTACCTCCACAAGTTTCATCATAGGGACTGGGTTGAAGAAGTGGAGGCCACCAAATCTGTCCTGCCTGTCAGTGGAGCTGGCAATGTCAGAAATCGGCAGGGAGGACGTGTTGCTGGCAAAGATGGTGTGTCTAAATCAGAGTGTGGAAAAACACATTCAGATGTATGATTGGAAAGAATGCAAATACAGTGGTCTCTCTCCTATCACCATAGTTGCGTTCCAAGACCCACCACAAAAAGGGAAAATACACGGTAGAGTTGTAGAATGGAAATATAAGACATACATACTACGTAAATAAATTAAACAGACAACCATAAAAAACAATGTAAATACATTCTTATTATAAATTAAAAATCAATGTAAATGCACACTGTGGGGGCGCAATGGAGATTAGGATAAATTTCAAAAAGTTTTCTCTGAAAGCCCTATTTTGATGAGAAACATGCAGGAAAAGATAACATTTTGAAAAATAATTATTTTGGAATTTTTCAGCAAAATCCCAAGTTCACATTTTATATTGTTCTGACTATGAAAAAATATGAAACGTTTTTTCGAAAATATTCTTTACTTGTCTGCATGTTTTTCATCAAATTAGAACATTTTGAGAAATCTTTTACAGAAAAAAAGAAATTGTAATCTTTCAGCAGATTCCAAATTCCGCATTTCACGTTGGTGAAATGTAAAAATTTGATGAAAATGTTTGTATCTTTTCTGCATGTTTCCCATCAAATTAGAGCATTTTGAGCAATTTATCATTTCATCTTGGTCAGATGGTGAGAAATTATGGCGAACATTGTTTAATTGTTTTTCAAAATGATGTCTTGTCTGCATGTTTTTCATCAAATTATAACAGTTTGAGATCTGAAAAAAAAAACATTTTGGAATTTTTCAGCGGGGTTCCCTAGATGTGTGTAAAACACTTAAAACCACCATTACGTGCATTTATTTAATTTCTATTAAAAGGTCAGCTTTTGATTGGTTAAATTTTACAAAGGAAATCTTTATTTACACATATTCAATATGTAAAAAATTCCACTTTGAAAAACCGCCAACATAGTTTTCTATCTTATGTGCCACACTTGAGAATCCCTATATATACGATTGAGATTGGAAAATTATCAGATTTATAAATATTTGCAAATAAAAAAAAATTGCATCAATTCTGCACAAAAAAGATTAGGCCATGAGATTTGTGAACACCATGGAAGGATTTATTCAAACAAAACTGGACTCACAATTGTGAACACACTACAACACAAAAGGCACCTTTAGTGTTTGAATGCATTATTGAACCTCTAAGTATTTCTTTTCAGTGTCACAGTGACCAGTGTCTCCGAGGAGGACATTTCACTTGTACTTGTAAAATCCTTCTCCAGTCTTTTTGCCATATTTGCCTTCAGCAACCAACTTGTTCAACAACTCACTCGGAGTAAAGAGCAGGTTGTCAGGATCCTTAGCACTCCAACCTGAATCATGCAATAAAAAAGGAAGCCTGGTTTATTTCAATCTGATGTTATTCCTAATCATTACTCAGTTTAAGTGTCTTTTTTTTTAACTGACCTGGATGACTGAGAATATTCACAAATAAAGTGTCTTATTTTGTTTATTCCAGTAGGATGTTAACTTAATGAAACTGTCTATGTTAACTGCCTTAACTGCTGACACCTACTTTACCACCTTATTGCATGTTCAGAGCTGGCGTTAGGGAGCATGTGAACACATTCCCTGTAAAACATTTGATGACTTATTATTCACTCACCGTCCATGATAAATTTCATTGTGTCTAATCCAACATAATCCGAAAGCTCGAATGGTCCCATGGGATAACCTGCACCGAGTTTCATTGCAATGTCAATGTCCTCTTTGGATCCATGACCTGAGAAAGTGAGTTAAAAGTAAACGTTATAAACAATTTAAAAAATAATAATAATGCTGACTTTGTTTAATAGTCTTGTGCCCCTTCTGCTGACACTGTACACAGAAACACTCACCCCTCTCGTGCAGACGAATGGCCTCCATTATGTAAGGAACAAGCAGCCTGTTTACAATGAATCCTGGAGTATCCTGAGTAAAGACTTTGGGTGAGACTCAACATTCTGTACGAGGACGCAGAGGGGACGGCTTTAGGCAGCGGCTTTTACCTTGCAGGAAACTGGTGTTTTTCCAAGCTCTTTGCTGAAGTTGAAGAGGGCGTCAAAGGTCTCTTGACTTGTAGCTGAAGTTCCAATAACCTGGAAATATTTTTTTTTTTTAAACATTCAGTTAAAATGTCTGATTCTGTTTAAACAATTAAACCATTTTTGTTCATGATACAATTTTATCACAATTGTTTTTTTTAAATAAAATGAGCTCCAGACCAATTATGACCAAATATAATGACCTTTTTTGTAAGAACTACGAACTAATACATTACCAATTGCAATGGTCTTGTATGCATGTATTATATATATTAAACAACCAAATATATGTTATACGTGTTCTTACCTCCACAAGTTTCATCATAGGGACTGGGTTGAAGAAGTGGAGGCCACCAAATCTGTCCTGCCTGTCAGTGGAGCTGGCAATGTCAGAAATCGGCAGGGAGGACGTGTTGCTGGCAAAGATGGTGTGTCTAAATCAGAGTGTGGAAAAACACATTCAGATGTATGATTGGAAAGAATGCAAATACAGTGGTCTCTCTCCTATCACCATAGTTGCGTTCCAAGACCCACCACAAAAAGGGAAAATACACGGTAGAGTTGTAGAATGGAAATATAAGACATACATACTACGTAAATAAATTAAACAGACAACCATAAAAAACAATGTAAATACATTCTTATTATAAATTAAAAATCAATGTAAATGCACACTGTGGGGGCGCAATGGAGATTAGGGCTCAGCTGCAGGAGGGAGAGCATGGGAGTGGCGACACAGGTGCAGCCGCGGCCGCAGGTGAGTGGAATTGGAGTAATCAAGCCTCTCCTTATATTAGTAGGTGCCGGGACCAAGGAGAGAGGAAAGTGAACAGAGGAGTGCATACTGGCCAAGGTGGACGGACCATATATGAAAGCCGGGCACAGTGCATGAGCGCACATTTTTGTGAAGAAAAATAAAGGCTGTTAACTGTCATCTGTGCGAGTGTCTTTGTTTGAGGGCGTTAAATTAGGGTAAACTTTATATAATGGCGCTGAGCAAAGTGAACAAGTGGCGGACAGACAAGGGGAGATGCTGAGAGATGCTACGATACATGAGCCAATCAGCGTGAGGAACAGAAGAGCTCAATACTGTGCTCAATCTCTTGGTAAACAGAGCTACCAGCGATGTCTTTTAGGTTTTTTCTTTGCTTTATTTTTACTGTTTTTTTTTTTTTTTTTAGGTTAGCTTAGGTTTTTAGGTATTTTTTTCATGGTTATTATGAAAATATTGGAACTTTAGAAAAATATTTACCGCCAAATACTGCGAGATTGGAATAAAAAAAATCCGCGATGTACTGAGGGAACGAACGGAGAGTCTCGACATAGGGATGGAACACTGTATTCGCAACAGCTCTATTGTACACCGACTATACAGCCACCAGGGGGCAGCATGTAGACTGACAGACGCAGGAAAAACCACAACCTAAAATGTGTCCCGTGTTATCTGGGCAATATATATTAAGATTGGAATAATAATTAGTCATTATTAATTACTATTTTTCACTAAAAGTAAAAGACAATAAAAATACACAAAAGTATTGTCAGATGTACCTGTGAGTACTTTTCCTAACAACAATGACTTGTATATTCCATTTGAGTTCAGCCACGGGCCTCTTTTTTGACTGAAGTCTAAGGCTTTATAAGTGCAAAGTATAAAGTGCAAAGTATAAAGTGTAAAGTATAAGTATAAAGTGACACTTACGCTGGTGCCAGCTTGTCAAGATGACCAAAGAGATCCTGTTTGATTTTTAGGTTTTCCACAATGGCCTCCAACACCAGGTCAGAACCCTGAGCAGCAGATCCAGCGTCTGTGGAAGTGGACACATTCTGCAGGACTTTCTGAATGAACTCCTCACCTGCCTGACAACAGAGCAGAGACAACACTCTTTTTTACACCACGTGCATTACATTTTTGTGTAATCAAATGTATGTGTGTGTGATTCGGACCTCTGGCTTGTCTGCATACTTCTTCTTGACCACTCTTTTAAGGCTTCCTTCGATGCCCTTGACAGCCTTTTTCAGGATGTCTTCACATGTGTCCACCAAGGTCACTGAGTGGCCAGTTGCTGCAGCAACCTTTCACACAGAAGAAAATGGGACTTGAATAAAGCTATAACTTTTTTAGTAATGTGAAAAATAACAAATAATGAAAATAAAAAACACTCAAACCTCATTTACATTTCAGCTGTATGTTCTATGAGTTATGTGTCTCAATATGTGACTAACTTTATCTGATGTGTAAATGTAGAGTACAGTGTTTACAAGAAAAAAACTTGATCACAGAGTTTATTTCTTCATAGGTAAATATTAGATACTTATTGTATTATTTGAGCAACTAACAGCCTTAAAGTACAGAGCAACTAATTTCAAAGCCTTCCTCCTGTGGGGCCTTTTTTATAACAACATTGTGACTGGCAGCAAGAACTGAAGAAAAAACAAATAACCAGGTAACAAAAAAACTGTTCCAAGGTTCAACAGATTTTGAATTAACCTGCAGTGTTGTTGAATGTTTCAGGTAAAACAAGATAGCCTTTCTTAAAGGTATCAAAAGTTAACATAGTTTTGTTTTGTTTTTTTTAATGTTAGGCCTATCCAGGCCTATCCAGGCCTATGATAGCATTAGCAACCTGCTATAAGAATATGAAAAGACAATTTCAGACATTTCAAGTCTAAATTTGGAATTGCATTCCAATAAAAACATTAAAAGAAACCAGTTACAGTAAACTGTATGAGGTACTTTTTTACAACAGATTGCGTTTCAACGAGGACACCTTTTTTGTTATGCCTACCATTGTATATGTAATATACTATAATCATAATAACATTCTGAAAAGTCTTCAAAATAAAGGTCTCTCAAAATGAATATCAATGCACTAATATGCCTTATAATAAATAGCAACGAGCATTTTATGGTTAATTAAAAATATATATGTATATTTTATGGTATGTCAACTATTGATAACAGTAATATATCATACTAATACAATTCTGAAAAAGTCTACAAAAATACGTTTCTCAAAAATGAGTAAAAAATACACTTATTCGCTTTAAAATACATAACTACGACCTGTTTTATTGTTAAAATTTAGAAAAGGGCCTTTTTTGGTACGTCAACTAATGATAACAGTAATATACTATACTAATACGATTCTGAAAAACCTTCTAAAATGGATAAAATGCCTTAAAATACATAGGTGTCCTTTTGAAAGTTTATTTTTGTAGACTGTTGTATAAAACTTTTGCTCTTAGCTGCACACACCGGTCTGAGGTCAGCTAGCTGTGGGGACACTGAATGAACTAGCGCGCTAATGTTGCTAAAGTGTAGCACATCGTGTTCCTACCTGCGCGATTCCTGCGCCCATCTGTCCTCCACCAATGATTGTGACATGTTTGATGACAGCAGATCTGACAGCAGAAGAGGACAGACCTCTGCAGAAGTGGTGTGTAAAGAAGGCCATGCTCCCCATCTGTCTGTTTGCAACCTGGAGAACTCCAGTCAGCTCAGGACGGAAACAGATCCTGTGTTATGCCGATTTCTGTTTCCTTGTGCAGTTGTGTTTCCTGCTGCGCCCTCCATCGGTCAGTAGATGGTAGGTTAGCGCAGTGGTCGCAGAGAAACACATTTCGACACATGGACAGATTTCACCGTGACACTTCACACAGTGACAGAGGGAGGACGAGTGTCACGTGATAGTGCAGACGTTTGCATGACCTTTTACACACATACACTGGCGTTATATATCAGGCTGTATTCAGTCAAAGGCAACGTTTTCCTTCAGAAAAAATATATTAATTTAGATCTATATGTCTTTTATTTTGCTTTCTTTCTTTGTATGTAAAATAAGATGTATGTTTATATATGCACATATATACATATACGTGTATTATATATATTTGTACACATATATACATGCGTATATATATATATATATATATATATGGTTCTACACACAGTTATCATTATATATGTTTTGGTTAAACTAAACTCTTTCTTTCAAGAAATTGTGAATATATAACTGACTAACATGACTGAATACCAATAGACATATTCTTACAATATTTTTTATTCAACAGATCTGATCATTGAAACCATGCTGAAGGTTAAACTATGACAGCAGTCTAGTCTCAGGTATTGATTAATTGATGAATTACTAAGAGACTTAAGTGTTAAGTCTGTCTTAAACAGGATCAACGTCTTGAAACAGAAGGCAGACAAAAGAAAACTCTGTTTCACAGGGCGTTGTCTGGCACCACTGTATTGTAACCATATAATCAAGACCAGACATTTTAATCTGATGCTTCTCTTATGAAATTACCAAAACAAACACATGTAAATGACAATAATATAAATGTTCACCACTTTTAATTGGTTTCACCTATTAGACTGGTCTTGACAATGACTACATGACAATTTTTCATCCAATCACATTAAAGGTGGTGTTGTGGAAAACTGCAATAAAGTTAATAAAAATAAAATATGGTATTTATGAATTAAATCAGAAAAACTCCTAAATCACCAGACCTGGCCCCTTCTCAGACCATTAGTCATTTGGTTTCAGGTCACAAAAGAAAATGAAACAATTTATTGATTAATCTTTGTGTTTAAAATAATTTCAATGTTTTTTTTTTTACCATTCACATTTTGCTGAAAATGTGTTTGCCCTGATTAGCACTAAAACTTCAAAGCAGACTTAGACACCTCAGAGACACATCTTAACATGATCGGTAACAAAATCACTTTTTGAATTAATGTGTGTCTTAGAAATGTTGGTAATAGTAGCTCAAAGCTGGAGCAACAACAATGTTCAGCAACAGAAGAAAAGTAAAGAGAGCTGACTACATCACTGTAAACTGTTGCTGAGACAGACAGATTTGTAATCATTGCACCATTTATTATATTTATATAATAAATTGTATTTCCAGTGTCTCCATCAGTAAACCGACTCATCATTCTAATGGGTGGAGAATGACCTGACAAAAATGGGGAAATATATTTAAAAATAAATATAAAATATACATATGTATATAATTCAGTCTGATGATCCACATAGAGAAGAGAGAACATGTTTATTTGATGATTAATTCATTTTAATCCAATCCCACATGGTGTAACTTCACCTGGTGTAACTTCACCTGGTGTAACTTCACCTGGTGTAACTTCACCTGGTGTAACTTCACCTGGTGTAACTTCACCTGGTGTAACTTCACCTGGTGTAACTTCACCTGGTGTAACTAACCGTTTCCTAATAACTGCAGTTTCCCAACACTGGTCATGTAAATCCATGATTCATTCTTCTTCTGTGCCTGTACTGTATATAAGAGCAGTCTTCAGTCTGACAGCAACATTCTCCACCATCTACAACATCTTCTACCAGACTTGGAGAGACAAGGTGAACTTTCAGTGATATTATTATTTTATTAAATCAAACCTGTTTCATTCATTATCTTGTGTTTTTTTTCCAACAGGTCACTGATCACTGAAACCATGAAGGCAGTACTTGTGCTTGGATTCTTCCTCTGCATCACTTTGGCCAATCATGTAAGTCCAATATTTTTATATTTAACTTCTATCTGTACTTTCAAATACAACTCAGGAGGACTGACTGTCTTAGTTTTTCCTGCCACCACCACCACCCTGTCACTGAACCAGATTCTGCTGCTCTTCCAGAACTTCTTTGCAGCTCTGGCTACTACCCCAGCAACAACCACAGCTGCTACATAAATAAAACAAGAAAAGAAATGAGAATCTCAATGTTGATGAAATAAAGTTCTCAAATTGACATCATGATGGTTTGTCTTCTTTATAGCTGTTACAGAAAAACATATTAGTGTGAGAATGTGTAAATGTGTGTGTGTTTGAATTAGAGAGTTCATCGTGCAGATAGACAAATAATCTCTGGTGCATAAAAATAAAAAAATAAAAATAATAAACCAACCTCAAATATTGGAACACCTGCTGTTGCGTTCATCCCTGATCTTCCCATTTGGACGTTCTATGTCCTCCCGATATGTCTGGGTTCTTCCAGGATCTCCAGTTTCCTGTTATTATCCAGAAACCTGCAGGTTTTGGTCATTAGTTTACTCAGAATTGACCACAGACCTCAGTGACAGTGTGAATGGTTTGTTGTCTCTACCTGTGGCCCTGTGATGGACTGGTGAACTGTCCAGTGATTACCCCACCCTCACTCAGTGATGGCTGGCTTCAGCTCCACCTCCACATTACCCCTGAAAAGGACAAAGTTGTACAAACTGAATGAATGATTAAATGAAGAGTTAATTCACTTGTAAGTGTTTATCTTGAGTCATCCAGGGGCAGCTCAAGCTCACCTTAAACTTCTCTGTGACTTTGGCTCAGACCAGGAGGCTTCATTGATAAAGTTCACCATCATCACGACGTCACTGGCCCATCCTAATAATACGACAATGGTTTATTTCTATGTAGTCAGGTTTATTTGGGAGAAAGAATGAAACAACTGAGTAGACCAAGTCTTCAGACAGTACATTTGATGGGTAAAGAAATGAAATAATAAAAGATAAGAGATATTTAAGAATATATCATGGGAACAGAGGAAAATAAAAAAAGGAAATATGACGCTATATTCCTCTGGGAGGTGTATGTGGAATGGTGTTTTCTACAGGCTTGGTAAGTCTTGCAGTGATGGTCCTTTGGCGCCCTCTAGTGGTACACAAAGGATGGTGATTCCAATTTGAATTAGGAGAGCCATTGACTTGTGAAATACAAAGGATGAAGAGTGATAAAGAGTGGCCATTATGGGGCAATGGTCGGCCCTAAACTTAGACCAGTTTAGAATCCCTGTTCTGTAGAATAAGTTTGTGAGTAAAGATATTTAAAACTGTCTACAGCAGTATTAACTACAGTATGTCAGAAAGGTACTACATGACAGTAATATGTTCATGTTTACACATTCTCAACATTTGTTTGTTTTTTTCTTTGTTTGTTTGTTTTTTCTTGTGGTTTCGCAAGATAAAAATAGTCAAATTAACTCAGTTCAGTTACTTAAGCCAGAGCAACAGCAACATCCAGAAACACCATAGAGCTGATGTGGGAGTTGACTGTTAATTGTTGCTGAGACAGACAGATTTGTAATCATTGCACCATTTATTATATTTATATAATAAATTGTATTTCCAGTGTCTCCATCAGTAAACCGACTCATCATTCTAATGGGTGGAGAATGACCTGACAAAAATGGGGAAATATATTTAAAAATAAATATAAAATATACATATGTATATAATTCAGTCTGATGATCCACATAGAGAAGAGAGAACATGTTTATTTGATGATTAATTCATTTTAATCCAATCCCACATGGTGTAACTTCACCTGGTGTAACTTCACCTGGTGTAACTAACCGTTTCCTAATAACTGCAGTTTCCCAACACTGGTCATGTAAATCCATGATTCATTCTTCTTCTGTGCCTGTACTGTATATAAGAGCAGTCTTCAGTCTGACAGCAACATTCTCCACCATCTACAACATCTTCTACCAGACTTGGAGAGACAAGGTGAACTTTCAGTGATATTATTATTTTATTAAATCAAACCTGTTTCATTCATTATCTTGTGTTTTTTTTCCAACAGGTCACTGATCACTGAAACCATGAAGGCAGTACTTGTGCTTGGATTCTTCCTCTGCATCACTTTGGCCAATCATGTAAGTCCAATATTTTTATATTTAACTTCTATCTGTACTTTCAAATACAACTCAGGAGGACTGACTGTCTTAGTTTTTCATTTAATATTTCACAGCTGGGCATGGCTCACAAACGATTTGCCCGCTCTGAATCAGGGTCCGACTCTGATGAGGTGAGTGTCTGCTCTTTCTTCTAGAATTAATCTGTGGATTCCTCATACTACTTCTGTAGAAACACCAGGAAAATGCTCATTTCTGTTATAAATGTGAATGTCACTTGTTTTTCCTAGACAACTACAACAGCTGCCACCACTGCCACCACCGCTGCCACCACTGCCACCACCACCCTGTCACTGAACCAGATTCTGCTGCTCTTCCAGAACTTCTTTGCAGCTCTGGCTACTACCCCAGCAACAACCACAGCTGCTACATAAATAAAACAAGAAAAGAAATGAGAATCTCAATGTTGATGAAATAAAGTTCTCAAATTGACTTCATGATGGTTTGTCTTCTTTATAGATGAAAATAATGAAAATGTGTGTGTTACAGCATTAATCTGCATGATAAATACTAAAAATAATAATTGTAAACAATAACTATAAACAGTAATGCTCATATTTACTCAAGATAAAATGGTTAGCTTGAGAAATGTTTAAACCTAAGCCAGAGCAAAGGTAATGTCCAAGCAAAAGAGCAGAGAGAACTTACATGACTGTTGATTGTTACCTGTTGCCAAAACGACCAGACGTAGCAGCCATTGTACCATTTATTATGTATAGTATTTCAATGGACAGTTATAAAATTCACCATCACAATTGGTGTAGGATGAACTACATAAACAGAGGAAGTAAAACAGACATAAAATATTAATGAACCCAATAAAGTAGACAGAGGACATTTCTATGAGATATTTAACACTTCATGAAGCTGTAATTTTCCATTTTCTATCACCGTCACATGACTTCAACATTGATTCTGTTTCTGTTCTGTATATAAGAGCAGTCTTCGGTCTGACAGCAACATTCTACTACTAGATTTGATAAGACAAGGTGAACTTTTATTGTTGTTGTTGATTATTTTCATTAGTGCAACTAATGTAGACTAACTGTCTTGTTAATATAAAATATTTTACAGGTGGGCATGGCTGACAAACAGGCAGAATCTAGTGAGATGAGTGTCTGCTCTTTTATTTAGAATTATTCTTTGGATTCTTCGGACAAACCGAAAGGCTCAGTATAATTATGATTATGATTTTTTTAGACAACTATATCAGTGGATTTATCTGCGTCACATTTCCTTTGTTTCCAGATCGTGCTGGCAGCCATTCATCTTGCTTGAAAGATCCCTGACAAATTCACAACTCAAGAAATACCTGTCTGAAACTGACACAATAATGGCTTATGTCTTCTTTTGAGATGTTATACCAAAAATATATATAATTTATATAAAGTCATATTAAGGGTTTTTATTTTTCTATTTTCATTGTTGTTGTTTAACTAGCATATTTTGTTGCCCTGATCCTCTCTTTTTAAAGATGCTCCACATCAATAAACCGTCGCCACTGTAAACCCATTTATAAAACTCCACCACGAGTACTCACACATACTGTGAACGGACACGGCGCTAAAGTGAGACCAAAGCGTCCATGCAGAGGAGGAGGAAGTTTTCCATCGGGCAGTCTAAATGTAAAGGCTTGGAGTAAAGAGGCGACTGTCAGGAACAGCTCCATCTTTGCCAGCTGTTCACCCATGCACACCCTGCGTCCTGAGGCACACAGAGTACGTTAGAGGAAATAGATCAGGGCACATAATCAATTACAATTACCAACACATGTTGACCCAGAGAAATATGAGCAGTTTACCTATTCCAAATGGCATGAAGCACTCCTTCCTGAACAACTTTCCCTCATCATCCAGGAAACGTTGAGGGTTGAAAATGTCTGGTTCGTCCCACTGGGTGGAGTCCTTGTGCACAGACCAAAGATTGGGCAAAATAACTGTTCCTTTGGGAATAGTAAAGCCTCTGAACTCTGAAGATAAAAAAAACATATGATGGCGTTGTAACTTTAATGGAGGTATTGAAGGTAGGTCTGAAAATGTTGATATTTATTTATAGTTTAGGGGTGTCAAGATTATGGATTATACGATACAACTTTTTCATGTCCGATACTGATAGTGCAACTCGGAGTATTTGAAGCTGCCGTTGCCGTTGGACCCGAGTGCAAACTTACTTACTGTAATTCTATATGAAACAAACATCATGATCCCTGTGATTTGTAAGCTCCATTGGATGTGACCTTTAAACCAGAGGTCACATTCGTCTGCGTTTACCTGTCGTCTTGGAGGCCATGTGTGGAATAGCCAGAGGAACCACAACAACTAATCTCTGCACTTCCATAATAGTCGCTTCGGTGAAAGGTAAATGTCCCTTATCCGTCAGTGATGGAACCCGATGTCTCCCCACAACTTCATCGATCTCCGTCTGGACCTTCTCTTTGTTCCGAAGAAGAGAGAAACAAAACAAATTAAGAAAATTAACTCAAAGTTTGAAAAACACAACACAACAACAAAACAGTTTTTCTTTCTTTACTTGTTGACAACAAAACAGTTTTTCTTTCTTTACTTAATCTTAATCTGGTTAAAATAATTTAATTCTATGTGATTTTGCACCTCAATAATTATTACAGCTTACTGTAGTTCCTTTAACGTCACTGTAGAGTTCAGCAGCCTAAAAAGGATTGAATTTCTTTGGATGAAAAAGAGTCACTATAACGTAAGATACATTAATATGAACTTCACCTTGGATATCGGGGTACAAAACCATGTAAAGCAGGGTCCACAGAATAGAATTGGTGGTGGTGTCAGTTCCAGCTATGAACAGATCTCCAACAATGTAGAAGAGATAATCCTCTGTAAAACTGCTGTCTTCCTGCCCAGTAGTTTTCTGGGCCATCATCTCTATTAGATACATGTCTACAAGATCCCGTGGGTTTTCACAATCCAGTGTTTCTTTGTGTTTTGTAATAATGCCCTTCAAAAACACAGTGATGTCTCTTTCTACCTGCCTCAGCTCCTTGAACACCCCAAAGGGCAAATGGTAGAGAAAAGGAAAAACGTTGATGAGGACTGCAGCACTGTTCACACAGATTTCGAGGCCACGGTCCATCAAGTCCAGCAATGCACTGAACTCGCGGTCTTCATGATGGAAGCGCTGACCCAGGGTCAGTGAGCAGATAACATTTGACACTGCATTTCGTATCAGCGGGGCAAGATCCACACCGCGGCTGGCGGACTCTTCATTCAGCCGCAGCAACTCTGTTTTCACAGTCGCCAGGCCTTGTTGGATGCAAGGTTCAAAGGTCAACTTTCCTAGACCAAAGTTTCTCAACACTGAGTGGCAAAACTTGCGCTGCTTCTTCCATATGGGCCCATAAGGTGCAAATACTATTCCTGAAATTCAAACAACCACAAAATAACGTGTGAGACTGCAATAAAACGTTACAGGTTAAAAGTCAGAGTTGAACTTCACTGATCCCAATTGCAAATATGTATTTTAAAACGGATTAAAATGGTCAGCTCACTGACTGTGTCACCTTTGCGTTTGGTCATGATGGAGACGGTGGGAATGTCCGGTCTGTCGGAGAAATCATCTGCGTGGTTCGACAGAGCGTCCTTGACAACTTCATAGCCATTCAGCACAACAATCAGCTGGCTGCCTACAAACAAACTGAACACGTTGCCGTAAATGTTGGCTTGGTCCGTTAAAAGCACGATAGCGTTTTTCACCGCGCCACCTCCTCGCCTGAATCTCCTGCGAAGGAAAGAAGGGACGAGGAAGCCGCCATAATTACCGACAATCGGCCACGGTCTGGGGCCCGGAGGTATGTTAGAGAGGTGCCGCTGGTTCTGAAGAACTTTGGCTAAACAACAAAGCGTAAACAGAAACAACAAAGCCCCAATGTTTACATGTGACAATAAGGTGCTGCTCCAATGCTCCAATGCTGGAGACATGATGTCAACTGCACCGAAACATTATTTTTCTAAGTTCTTTGCATTTCCATCAAGTACCAGCACAGTCAATCACACATTTACAGCTCGCTCTCCTTCCGGGGTCGTTGGGAAGTAGTGGGCTCTTAAGCTTTGCCTGTACTGGCTTCCGATTGGCAGCTTGGCGATGACGTCGCAGATTTGCGTCTACATGACCTATTATAGAACTACACAGAGCATTGGGATTATTATTTTTTAAAGAAATTATTCATATTAACACTCACACATGTAATAGAAGTCAATTGTTAATATATGTCGTAAAAAGAACTACGCTACGTATTTTGACAAATAAAATGACAAAAAAATTGAATCCAGGATTTGTGCAGATCTATGGATAATAATTCTGTTTAACCTTAAACAAAGGCTTAATTGATTTTTTAAAGAAGATCAATAAATAAATTTTGATTCTGATCATAAGAAAGCTGAGACAAGGAAATGTTACACAGCCTGCGCATCTGCTGTTATGACACCATGTCTTAACACCATGAGTCTTACAAAACAAACAAACATTTCACAGATGTACATTAAGAGTCAATAAATATGACTTCACTTTTTGTGTTGTTTGTTGCCGCTGTGAAGCAGATTTTCTGTGCATTTGTTGCAGCACAGACAGACTGCTGTGGATTAATAGAGGTGAAAGGTGAAGCTGATACACTGATCTTCTTATGTACAGCCAGGTCGTAGTTTGACCCCAGTTGGACCTCAGTGTTGTTTACACAGGAGAACTACGGACATTTGGCTGTGGTTGTTGGTATCAGCCAGGATAAAGCTGCCTGTGTCACTCGGTAAATAACTGTGATAACTGTGTCTGCTGAGCTGAAACACCAACAGCTACCGATTTATTAAGTGCTTTAAATGGAAAAGATTATATAAAAATAAACAAGGGGTTGAACCATGTGACGAAGGGAAATAAAAGCAATAAAATATATTATAATTTTTTTATTTTTTTTGCTTTTTCCTGTAATTTTTTTAAGCGCAGCTGTTCTACCTACAATAACCCCGCCGTTGTTAGTAATAGATCCCCCCTTTAAGCATGTTTATCCGTCTGCGCGTAAGATTTAATAGGTGAAAGGTGATCGCTCCTCTTCCAAACCTTGTCCAGGGGTGTGTTGTGACGTCACTCAGAGGGGTTGCCCATGTACGTAAAGTGCTCCGTCTAGCGGAAATGGATGGATCCCAGTTTCAAAATATTCTCACGTGGCAATGTCCCCCTCAAAACATCTGCAATAACCTGAACTACATAGGATCCCAGTATTACATTGTGCTTTGCGTCTCAAAGTTAAATGTAAAGTATTCCCATGATATGAGAAACACCGGACACACCATATGAAAAACTTAAATAGATTAAATTTGAAATATGTTAAATACAATAAAAATGTTTTTGTCTTGGAACGCCACTTGACGTCCCTGTACTTCTAAGCGAGTGTATGCCAATAACAGAGATCAATCAATATTCATACATCTTATAAAAAACAAACACTTTAAAACTATTAACTAACGCCAAGTTGTTGTGCTTGTTTTATTTTGGAAAAAACATACCGGAAGTATATGTATTACTCATCTCTGGCTTTACAATGAAGCCGCATGGTACGTTCCTCATGCCGTGATGTATTACATATGTAAGTGAGTGCAGTGTCCTTGCGTTCCGTAACGAGGCTGAAGTGTTCCGTCAGTTCTGGTGTGTCAGTGGAAGACAGGACTCACAGTGTCTGGCCTGCAGTGCTTTACACTCGGGCGACAGAACTTAGAGCTTACTCCATGCTCTACTGACTGCCAGCGTTCTCCTTGGATGACCTACACGCAACCTCTGTTTCCGTGGAGCGGTGGACGTCAGTGCGTCACAGCCGAACACCTGCTGGTTAAGAGGAGCAGTGGGCACCAGGTCAACAACGCCGACCCTCCTGCAGGTTCCGAGTGGAGTTTGGAGCAGCTGAGTCGGTCAGCTAAACAAAATAAGGCTGAGTAAGGACTGCCCGTACGGTCAGGTGGAGCGGACGGAGGCGCGGAAGTGGTGAGGGCGGCGAATTCAGCTGGAAAGCCCAGGAATCTCCAGGCACCGGTCGTTCACATGATGTACACTATTAGCCGAGGGCCCAGCAAACTGGTGACACAGCGCAGGACAGGTGACAACACTGACCCATTCGATCCTCTGATGGTTTCGCAACAGCATGACGCTACGTCACAGCCGAGTCGGGCTCATGACAAGGTTCCAGCGATGCTTGACTAGTAACTTAAAGTTTTCGTTTTTAATTTATCAATGTTTTTTATCTGTTGTCAGGTCCAACACAACAGATCGAGAATAAATTCAGTGACTTAAAGCTGAAGCCCACGTCTTGGTTCACGTCTAAGTAAGTTGTGTGTGTATGTGTGTATGCACAGGGCAAATAACATAATACATACAAATATGTAACTTTGTTGATAAAACCTGAGGTCACCTGGTGGGAGAGTGGTTGGTGCTCTTGCCTTACAGCAAGAGAGCCTCTGTTTGAAGATCTGCACAAAGTCTGTGTGTAACTTACATAACATACAACCAGGCAAACGTGTTGTTTAGATATTGCAATATATTCTTCTTCCATGCAGTAACTGAAGAGTTTGTGCAGCTATAAGCACAGCATTTCTATGTAAATATGGAGAAATATTAAGCATATTTTGTGCAAATATGTATATCTTCAATAATGTGTAGTATTCTTTATTTTTTTATTTGTATTTTTTTTCTCCTTTCTTTCATTCTGTAATTTTTGTTGCTGCAACATGTCAATCTTCCCAACAACCATTGGTTGCAGTTTCTATTATTTCCAGGTGGAATCACAACGAGGAAAACTAGAAAACATTCACCATCTAAGCAATGACTCTTGCCCTGAATCAACCTTTTTTTTAGTTACTCATACATTCACAAATTAAAAATAAACTTTAATTCAACTGTTTTGTCACACTCCCATCACACTTGCTGTTGTTTTATTTACCAACGTCAGCTGTGGGCCAACAATCTGTAACTTGACCTATGTTCTCTGTCCAGCTCTCCACCGCCAAAGATTGTGTTTAACCGCCACAATGGGAAGCGATACAACGGTTCAGCCACACAGAAAGCCAGAGGCTCCACAGATGGATTCACACCTGCACATGAGGAGAACGTCAGATTTGTTTATGAAGGTGAGACTCAGACTCAGATTGTGTGTGCATGTACTGTATATATACATATATATATTCTCCATCACCCTCACATACTTCTATGCCACTCCTGATTTTCTCACACTGTACCAGCACTACTGCAAAATACCCTGTACCCTGTGCCATCTATGAATCCAAAAAGACATTCTCTCTCTCTCTCTACTGAACATCATCTATAAACGTAAGTTGCAAAAGTGTGAAGTAATCAAGTAATCAAGTCATCAATTGCAGTTCAGTCATGATGCAGAGTGAACTTTTGTTTGTGTGCAGCTTGGCAGGAAGTGGAGCAGAAACTTGGAGATGGAACTGGTGGAGAGTTGACCAACAGGCAGAGACCGATACAGTACACTGAGAAGACCCCAAGTGCACCCATTAAAAGTCAGTATTTTCTCTTGCTTTTGTATGATTGTCATTTTTTATTTATGCTGTAATGTATCAAAAAGGAGACAGTGAGACTTTAATCTACACGTGAGAGCACAGATGTCAGTTCTAAGCTGATCAGTAGACAACAGATTTATCAAATTTTGTCTCTGGAATCTGGCACCAGTTCAGTCTCCTTTATATGTTGTTTTTGTAGCACTGTAAACTCATTCACAAGACCATGACACTAGGAAGGCATCTACAAACATAACAGACTCTGAAGCCAAGTGTTTGTAACATTCTATAGTCAAGAAGGCAACTTGGAAAAAAGCTTAAAAACAAAACTTTGCTTACAGCCCACGTGCGTTAATATGAACAATGATTAAAAGACCATATGAATGGGTGACAGGACCTGGATTATGTTCACCTTCTCTGTGCAGACTTTGTGCCTATTGACCTAGAGGAATGGTGGGCTCAGCGCTTCCTTGCCAACATCGCTAACTTGGCGTGACCGTTTGTGGCTCAGAGCTGGTACAGGAAAACAACGCTTTGATGCTTTGTTAGTGAAGGCATCGCAGGAATGGTACCATGAAAAGCAAGAGCCCATCTTCAGGGCCTGCTGTGATGAGACCACAGAGACCTGTGTGCACAATGAAGAGCTGCCACCAATGCAACAACCTTGACCTGGCTGACAGCGCTGCCCAGATTTTTTTCCGTAACGAGGGACAAGTTTTTCTTACTCTGCTGAGAGATTCAGATGAGATTGTTTGTTAAAGACCGTCCTCATTCTTCTGAGTGTGCTCTGCTGTATGTGTCTTTGCTGATCTTTGGATAGAAATACTGAAAACTGGAGATTTGAAAGAGTAAAAGTAATTTACAAAAACTATGGACTTGTGTTTTTATTCTTAGGTGACAATAAACCTCTGTGTGATATTAACTATATGTACCACTCCAAAATGAGGAAGTGAGGAAACTAAATAAAACTAAACAACTAAATAATTGAACTGCTCAGACATAAGAGATTCAACTTTGACCATTTTATTTTCAGTCAGAGTTCAGCATTTAAAACAATCTACTCGATAGGTGTATGGAAAAAACACATTTTACGATTTCAAACAATGGTTTAAGGTAAAAGCTACACAAACTCTTTTTTACTCTTCATTATTATTAAAAGGTTCACTTCTCAGAAATTCATTTTACTCCACATTTAAACACTGAATTAAAACCGTCTTTTAAAGTGCAGACGAAACTGCTTTTTTTCTGCCCCTTCCTTTTTCAACCCCTACCTTTGCCTTCTTCCTGCGGCCGCGGCCGGGAGCAGCATGGCCCGGTTTGGCTGTGGTGAAAGTGATGCACAGAGAGTCCAGGTAGTCCACCAGCTTGGCTGCACCCAGGCGAATCCCAGCCTCTTTGAGACGCCCTTGGAGTTGAGACAGAACCAGGGGCTGGTACTGGAGGATCTGGTTGTACAGCTCAGAGTCTGCCAGGATGAAGGAGCGCACAGCCTGGAGGCGGCTCTGTAGTTTAGAAGCAGCCTGGGAGGCTGAGACCCCTCCATCACTGTCTGAGTCTCCATCAGAAGACGGGCACAACTCTGGGTTGGACCTGACGGGAAAGAAAGATCACGTTGATCTAAAGGAAAAAAGTACTCAGTGCTGCTGGTGTTGTGTTAAAAAGGATTGAGAGGTTCAGTTTAACAGTATTCCAGAGCGTACCTTTCAGACTCCTCACTGGCAGCTGTTGAAGAGGTGTTGGAGCCCTGGGAGGCAGACAGCAGCTCTCCTTCCTCCTCTGCTCCTCTGTGTTTCACAGGGGAGACAGCAGCAGGTGCTCTAGGCTCTTTAAACTTCACCTTCTGACCGCAGGTCACTGGCCTGCTCGCGGCAAGAGCTGAAGTGGTCTTCACTTGAACGGTTTGACCTACACAGGCTGCCTCATCTTCAGAGTCTGAGCTCACCAGCTGGTGTGTATACTGGTGGATCTCCTTCAGTTTGAGGATCATCTGGCGCTTGGGTAAAGGACGAACGCCAAATCTGCAGAGAGAGAAGCATTTATGGCACAAAAAAACAAAATGTGACAATAAATACAATGCTGACTTTTCTGGTTGGTCTGTGGCATTTTGTACCACAAGACGGCAATACCTTGGTTTTTAAATGAATAATGATATTCATAAAATACCAACAAACCGTGTTAGTAGAACCCTCGACATGTTCTACTTTTGAGCAGGGACGAACAACCAATCAGTGCATTATCTCATTCAGCAAAATGGCCAAATAGAATGAGGAGCCAACAGATTTCATTTACCCATTTTTATGCAAGACTTACATGAGAACTGAGCTTAGAGTGAACTCACCGGTTGAGTTTGTTCTTGAGCTCGGGGGTGTCCATGTCAGAGTAGTGTGCCATGGGAGTGATGGGCACCTTGGACTTTGGTCTTTTATTTTTGGATGACACTTTGGAGAGGAAACAAAGAACAATTGTCATTTATGCCAATACATGCATTATTGTTAACAAATAAAATATATATATATAGCATATAAAATAGTTTAACCTGCTGTGTGTGTAAACTAACAGCGAAGATCTTCTACTGCAGCATATCACCAATTGCCCATACTTAGTACTTTGCAGGAAGGTTTTAAAAAATCTTGAAAACAAGATTAACATTAACAAGAAATTGATGTAAAGAGAACACAAATATTTATGTTGCAAAATGATCTTACATCAGGGATAAAAAAAGTCCCTTTAACCTAAACATCAGACCAGACTGTTTTTATATAAATGTGACTGGAATAATATTGTTTTACTGTTCAACACAAGATTGTAAACGAATAAAGAACGTTCTTTCAGATGTCAGTATTTTACCACATAATGTTGTGTTAACATGCTGATGCTTTAATAAAAAGTGTAAGATGATACCTGGGGTTCTGAACTGAACTGATGGCTTCAGTCTTTGAGACAGAGGAAGAGCTTCCTCCTCCTCCTCACCCTCATCCCTCCAGCTGTCCCATGCTTTGGGGTCCATTAGGCTGCTGTTCAGGTCTAGTGGTGATGAACCACAGGAGGGGCTTCTGTGAGCCCGTCTGCTGGTGTCAGGTTGTGCACACTGGGCTACAAATGGGGAGGAGTCAATCTTAGTGCCGCAGTTTGGTGGAGATGGACGATCAATGGACGAAGACGCAGCGGTTTCTCTCTGACCTGTACTGTGCTCCTGGTGGCTGGACCCCTCACTGTCCTCCAGCCTCAGGCTGAAGCAGCCAGGGTTGGCTTCAGTGCAAGCACCGAGGCCCCAAGAATCATTGAAGGCTATAGGGGGCTCATCCATGAAGCTCTGTCGAAAACTGCATTCTTCGTCCTCAGGTGCTCCAGTTTCTTTGTTACTTTCATTTTCTGTGTCTTTATTTTCACACTCTGTTTCACTCTTTTCTTTCTCATTTCCTCCACTTTGGTTGAACTCTCTGTCCTCTACAGAACAACTTTCACTGGAACTTCGGTTCTGGTCCCGTGGAGCATGAAGACCTTCGTGAGACGACGGAGTGAGGGGATCTGAAGGGTTTGACAAGGGTGACAGATGAAAGCTTCCTATCTCAGTTGTCTCTGAAGTTTCTCCATATTTTTCTTGCCTGGATGGACTTAGCTTTTGAACATTGATAGTGAGTGGAGAAGCAGCAAGAAGGACAGGCAGATGTTGGACCTCAGTATGCAGGGGGGTGCTACTGTAGGGCTGTTTCTGAGCCTGCTGCGCTGTATCCTGGTTTAAAATGGTAGGGCTAGGCTGACAAAGGAGTGAAAACTTACGCTGGTGTTGTGAAACTCCTCTGTTATTATCAGAACAAGCTTTCTGCAGAGTAATGTTGGAATCCGAGGCAGAGCTACGAGAGACAATCTCTGCTTGTTTGAGCCTGGAAATGCTGCTCGCTGATTGGCCAGTGTGGGCAGAAAGTCTGGTTTCTCTGCTTGAGCTGTGGAGACAGTTGGAAGGAAAAGCAGGAGAGGAGAACGGAGAAGAAACTGAAGAACGGTCACCTCTGGGGAACAGCTGCGTCCTGCACATGCTGCTGTTGGTCTGGGTGGAGCTGCTCCTGCTGGAGTCAGTCTTCGTGGATCTCTCGTGTTGCAGTGGTGTGGATGGGATCAGCCAGGAAACCTCTAGAGAACAGTCTACCAGACTTGGTTCACGTTCTGCACCTCCATGGTCACCATCGACATTACTTGAACAAACCTCTGCACTAGTGGAAACCGTTTTCCGTGGTGTGGGTTCACTGGGTTTTGGGCTGGACTGGGGGTCAACCTGGATGCAGCTTGGTTGCTTTGTAACAGACACAAACACACAGGAAGTAGGAACTGTGACTTCTTCCTCCATTTCTTCATCTGAGTCGGACAGAACTATGACCTCAGGGCTCTTCTGTTTGGTTGGAGAATGAAACATATAACTATCGCCACGACTTATGATTTCTTGTTTTGGAGAATAACGTCGTTCACTGACTTCAGCACCAATTTCATTGTTTCTTTCACCGCTACAGTCTGTCACCTGATAAGGGGAGACCCCTGGAACGGGCAGTTTGGACGTACTGGGTGATGGGCTGAGTGAGACATTATCAACAATGCTGGGTGAGGACTGAAGTATAGTTTCTTTTGGAGTTTTTGTCTTTAATGGTGCAGAGGTTGGGGATAAACTGTCGTCTTTTTCACAGAGTCCAAACGTTTCTGAGAAGAGTCTGTTGTAGCTCAGATCCAGAGAGTTATTTGTGTTGGGTTCTGTCTGTTTTGTAAACACTTTGTCACTGACCTTATCCTTTTCCTCTTCCTCCTCCTCCTCCTCCTCTTCCTCCCTCTTTCTCTGAGTGGCAGCAAATTCATAAATCTCCTCCAGCTCTTCTTCATTCACTTGTTCCTCACAGATCTCAGCCTCAGCAGAAGTAACATCATCACTTTGATGATCTTCTATCATCCATCTCTCCTCCTCCTTCCCTTTATCAGAAACCACATCCTCGTCACCCTCATCCTCTTCATTCCACATGGAGCGAAGGAGTTCTTCGAAGGCTTGGTCTGCGTGCTCATGGCCGTTCTCCTCTGGGTGTGTGTAGTCATCCTCACCTCCTGGAAACAGTGCCTCCTCTCTTTGACGTTCACAAAGCTGCTGCAGATCTAGCAAATCAAACCTGGTTGGATCACAGAAAAAAAAACAAAAACTTAAAGCTCTCATAGACATCAATCTGATAGTCACCCTAAACATTACTGACGTACTTTACTGACAAGTCCTTGACTTGTGTCGGAATCCTGTTCTTACGCAACACAATTTTCGTAAGTCAGTCAGTATTTTAAAGTATGAGTCAGAACTTTCATACTGTACATTAGTACTCATGGAACTTACCACACTAACACAGTGGTGACATCATAATTTAGGATATAAGAAATTAGCTACATCATAATTTAGGATATAAGAAATTAACTAATAAAGGGTAACTTTACCCCCCAAAACAAGAAATCACAACAAAAGCGAGTGTAGCACAATTCAATATACTGACGAATGTAAACAAAGCCGTGTTGTGTATAGAGCCGTGTGACGATGTATTCGTCTGGTCCACTTGCCAACTAGTTCCAGTGCATTTTGTTCACGACCCTAACCATGAAACACCGTAGGTCGAGGACAATGTAAACCCAGGTCCCTCTGAATATTTTAATACAAGATTATTATCTTGTACCAAACAAAACAGAGAAACAAAACTCAAACCAAAGTGTAATAGTTGTCTGGAGCTTCTGACCTGGAAGCCAGTTCAAGCATGTGAGGCTGCAGTGAGGCTGGGAAGGAGCACTTAGCAGTGTAAAGGTACTGCAGCAGAGTAAACACTGCCTGTCCTGGGACGTCATTCATTAACACTCTGTGAGCAGCCGGCCCTCCTTCCTCCCGCACCAGAAATCCACTTTCATGTACCTGAGACAGACGGACAGAAAGAAGAAAGAGAAATGTTGAGAAAATAAATCCCTAATGCTTTTTTTAATGTTTTTATTCTGTTATGTTATAAATTTTAATGCTGGGTTGATTCTAACCATTTCTGCCAGCAGGGGGCATCGAGCGTAAATCATGAAGGAATGGGCGAAGAAGACCTCTCCACAGTCCACCTGGAGCTGCACATCACTGAGCTGAGGGTTGTTCACCATGCAGCTCAGGTCAGATGTCAGCCGGGAGACGGCTGCCTACAGAGAAGACACTGATTGGAGGCACAAGGTTCTACAGACTACGGCTCAAAGAGGAACATTATTTTCTGTTTACTTTTCTGGCACTGTCTGGTTCTAGTACGGAATGATTCTGGTACTAAAACCACAAGTTGAACGTCTTTCGTGTTTAGTCCTGTGTGATTGAATCATCATTTTTAAATAACTGTGTACTGTGTCTTTAAATATAATACATGATTTATGTACAGTATATTTATTTATTTATATGTGATGTTAGACTTATATTTCTATTTCTTATTCATACTTAAGTACAAAGAGTAACTATCACATACTGTTAATCTATAGGACAAAGTACCAGTCTGGTGCAATTTATTACAAATGTGTTTTTGCATACTGTGAACTCTTGGAATGATTCTTACATTTTTCATTTTAGTGTGCAACTAGTCATTTACTCAAACGTGATCTCAGACCAAACACCCACACCCACACACACGCACACAAATCTGTGACTTCTTTACTATATACAGACTGGATGAATTCTGAGTTCTATTTTTAGGAAGAGGCAATGGAAACAAAGCTGGGAAATTTCAGGTGTAACCCATAAAGGTGTGGCCACACTGCTGTAGGTGTGTGAGTCGAAGAGCTAAATTATACACACTGAACACGCACACACACACAAAAAAAACCTCTGGTACTCAGTGATAGTCAAAATAAAACTCTCCTCTTGTTTAAACTGATTGTGTTTGGTCTTACTGATCGATGGCTGCCTTTCTCTTCATCTCTCTGCAGTTGAACAGATTTTCTTCGGGCTGGGCTGTGATCATCCTCTGAACGCCTGTCTGCTGTTTCTCGCAGGAAGCCACTCACACACAGCTGAGCCTGCTCCTCTGCCTCCTCAGGAACAAAGCCACTGAGATGAAGAATTTCGGACTGTTTGTCGATGCTTGATTTGTCTAGAAAAGAACACAAAAAATATATTTATTTTTACTCAACAAGATGCCTAGTCACAAACCTGGCACAGCATAAATAAATATAATATTCATATACTGTATATAATTTGTTTTTTTGCCATTATTTAACTAAAAATAGTAATAATAATTTTGTAATTGTGCCGGGGACATTTGCACAAGGTGTTGGTGCCTTTTACCTTTATTGAAACCACTAGAGGTGTATCCACATTGTGTCAGTGTCATGCCGTCTTCAGCCAGCTCCATCAGGTCCCGCAGGGCCTGGCTGCCCACTGGCAGCTGCCCTGTCCCGGGAGTGGAAGGAGTTGAGGAGCAGGCTGCTGTCTGAGAGGTAGATGGCTGCATGGACTGAGTGGTATCTGTTAGCGTAGCTTTAACACTTTCACTCGCTGGTGGGAGAGAAGGATCTGAGCTGACGCTGGATGAGTCTGCTTTAATCTAAAGAAGATTGTTGTTTTCATCATTATTGTCAGAAAAACTCATGACAACATATCAATCATTATACTACAAGAAATTAAATTTAAAAACAAAAACATTTATTTTCAAATACAATACTAATAATGCTACATTTTTCCTTAAACTTTTATATCAAAGCCTGCTGACGTGTTTTCTTACCTCTTCTGTTTTCCAAGGTGTGATGAACTCACTGAGCTCAGGGGTGTAGAAATTTGAATCACAGATGGATGTGCAGATCTGCAGTGCACTTTTCTGCCACAGGGAGGCAACACTGCTCAAGCCAGAAAGACCAGTGGGGCAGCGGGTAGGAGTGGGAGGAGAGGGGGACCTGCTGCGTAGGAGGATAGCGGAGACACGTTCCTGCAGTCTCAAAAGGGCCGCTTCAGCATCCGCAACAAGGAGCAGAGGAGGAGGTCTAGGGCTGACTCCCTTTCTCTTCCTACTGCGTCCTTTATCTGCAGTGTGTGAAGAATGGGTTGATATGATGCTGCCATTAGAAAGATGTTAAAAGAATGAGTGGACTTAAGTTCTGTGACAATATCACATCCAGGTCAAGGTGTGTGTACTTAAACTACAACTAGTCTGAGTCTGACAGTGATTGTTTATGTCTACTTGTAGCAGTGTGACCCAGGTTGTGACGTGCCTTTACTTTATGTTAGCTGGCATTTGCTGCGACTACTGCCCCCACACATGACAGAACAAATGGTAGTAAAATGGGTAAACAAAAAATCCGTGATGATGAGGATTAACAACATATCATTGGACCTGCATCGGGTCGCCACTTCAGTCCTGAAGTCATGGAGGCACGAGAGGCTGCAGTCTCTGTTTCTGCTTCCCCGTGTGTCTTCGTCTCCTGCTCCAACAGGGAGGAGGAGAGAGCCAGAGCCACCATGGTGTCCTCATCCAGGGGGTCTGTCGTCTTCTTGGGTTTCTTCTTCACCTGAAGGCCTGGCTTTGAGGAGCCTTTCCTTTTAGTGCCTTTGCTCTGTGTACTGGATAAAAAAATACACAAAGGCTTAAAAAACATGCTGCCGAGATACATGAATACAGACTAGAGTGAAAGTAAAAGGCTCTGAGTTTATGTTGTATACACTAACATTCAATCATTAAATATATAGAGTCTTTCTAAAAGCTGGTGTTTAGGGTATGCTCAGTAAGCACCAAAAAACTCCTCAGTTTGAAAAATTGCAGCACACTACTACTGTCTAGTCGATGTAGAATTCTAGTAATTCATAAATAGATTATACACAGCAAGAACTCCCAATAGATTATTAACAGTGGGAGAATTTTTTTTTAATGCATCAGAATTGGGTTTGTAAACTAATACCATGAGATATTTGCTGCCCCTTTGGCATCAATATAACATAATGTTACAAAACAATTAGGTTATTTAATAGTGGACATTAAAAGTTGTATTGATTTATATATTGACATAATTAATGTACAATGAATTCAAAATTGTAACTGCTGGCCTCATAAACAGGTTATTAGGTACTCAGTGACACCCAGTTCTAATAATTCCTGCACTGAAAAATACTAAAAAAAAGTTTCTGACCTGTTGCATCAATTTCTCTGAGTAATAATATATTTAGCGTTATATTTAGATCTGTCTGATAGTATGACTGAAATACTCACTCTGTGTTGACAACGGGAACGTCTTGCACTTCCTGAGCCTGCCTCTGCAACGCTTGCAGCAACACAGCCGGAGACACACCCATATCCGAAGAGCAGCGTTTCAGGTGTGTGGAACGACTCTTCTGGGACTTGAACTTCTTACCACAGACGGGACAATCAAGGACACCAGGGGGAGGTCGTGAGGCTTGGGTGTTGTTTTCACACCCATCTAAACACCTGAAAAAAATGTTAACACAACATTGGGTTTCATCAATCACAGTAAAGATGCAGCAGGTCACTGTCAAACTATAATGTGAATATACAGGTCTGCACCTGTTCAGATGCTGTGTCCGTCCCTCAGGGGTCATATGAGACACATCTCTGTGGCAAATCTGACAAATGAAAAGACCTCCGTCTCCAAGATCTGCTGCCTCCCTGTCCAGCTCCTGCTGTAGCTTTAAGGCCAGTGCCTCATCACTATCTGTGACCTGGGAGCTGCAGCCTTCTGGACAATGAGTGAACCATGTTCATTAACATATCAATACAGAGATTAGATAGATAGATATATGTTATTGATGCCAAATTGGAAAATTAAAGATACAAATGGAAACAAAGCGATGACATTGTGATCGTGATGTCACCTCGTCTTTGCGACTGATGTTCACTGTTGTGTTTCATTTTCGGGGGACGTTGCTTCCTGAATTCTTGCATTCTTAGGAGAACTTTGTCTTTTGCTGTCAACCCTCTGTCAGCTGCAGGTCTTGCTACTGCAAGGACTGAAGATTCACCATCTCTATCACATGCTGTCTCCCCATTGGCTGTTGGGGAGACAGTCCGTTGGATAGTTCCACTGTCCACACACTGGGTCCCAATGACATTTAAACCAGAGTCACATTTCCTATTTTTTTCACATCTTTTCCCACCACCGCTAGTCTGACCAGAGAGCTGATTCTTTGCTTTCCGCGGTGGCTTGATGTCACCGGGGTTCCTGCGGACTCGCTTCAGCAACTTTGAGCAGAGATCTACAAAATCCTGGTCTGAGTCATCCATGATGGTTTATTTGTCCTTGTATTAACGAAACTGCTCAGCATGTCGTCGTCGGTAACGCTTCAACTGCGAAAGAGATGGTTTAGGTACTAGGTTTAATCGACCCAGAGATCAGTTCTGACTCGACTAAAGAACACTTGCATTTGTTTAGGTTTTACCTTAATAGACTCCTAAATAAAATCGGTTTTATAAACCAAGGTGCTCGTTGTATAACATAGTTTACTCCTAAATTAAGACCAAAAAGCAGTTTGCAAGTTAGCTACTACCTTAGATTTGTGCATCTCCCCGGCTTTATCTTTCCGCCTCTTTGCCATTACTTGGTGAGCCTGGTCCCGTGATGGTCATGTGTTGCATAAATGCAACCGTATTAAGTGCTATGTCTGAGAATAAAACTGGCAAGAGACGAAGAAGTGAGATATACTTTCAAAACGTCCACCACCGGAATTAATTTGTGTTTCCGGTCACATGGTAACGAGCGCTCCGTTGAGTGGTTCGTTAAGAGATCACGTGACTAAACTTACACAGTTCAGCGGGTGCGCAAATGTACTACAACCGCTATCCAACTCACTACTCTCAGCTCACTAATGATTATTTGTAGAAACGTATGTAAAATAAGTTAGGAAATACATTAGGATTTTAAGATAAATGTCATTTAAATTCACATTAGTCCATGGGTAAATAAATACCTACAGAGCTGGCCAGATGTTTGCAGCTGCTCTCTCAGTCCGCAGGTGTCTGTCCAACTGCCTCATAGCATTCTTCCATGTCCCTGTTTCACTGTGGAGATGGTTCTTTTGGTTGTCTGTGATCCTTCAGTGAAGGGCATCATCCCTATGACAAAAAGAGCACTTTTGTATTCTTATCCAACTATTCACTATCCAATAAGAATCAATGTTTCCCCTACATGTTCTTCATGTTTTGTTTTTTATCTTCAGAATCACAGTCCAATCCCAGCTTGTCATGTCCTTCCACGACCAAACTGCCTTCTAACCCAGCCAAATACCTCATCTTTGGACTGACCAGCTGAGGGTCCTCTGTTCCCATTTTCTGCACCTGACTTCAAATGTCTTTATAAATATTTAAGTATTCTGGCCCAGGTTCTGCGAACTTTTGCCAGTTTTGGCTAATGGCACTGTTCGACATTACAACTTCAAAGGAAAGCAACATTTATTTGTGTTTCTCATCTGCTGCTCCATCTTTCCTCAATATTACCTCTTTTTGTGTGCTTTTTCAAAAGAGCTTAAAATACAGCTTGAAATCCACTATGTCGTAACTACTGTGTACCTGGTTGCTGTGCTCAGTTTTGCTGTGGTGCATGACCTGGGACACGACAAACCATACATCCTGCAAAATCTTTTCATACCTGGTGCAAGTATACCAATGAAGAAATTGATTTTTGAAGGATTGGTAACACAAAATATTGATTTGTTTTAGATTCTTCTTTTGTTTGCTCACTTTTCATTTTGTAAAATGACAAAACTTTTTTTTTTTTTACATTTTCTCCAAAGCATTCTTACTTTACCACTTTTTCACTCGCCCAAAACCATTGCACAGAATCGTGAATACACAGAAATGCAAAACGAAAAATAGGCAATTCTTAAATGTGGACAAAAATGAAAACAAAAAGTGTGCGTCACACGCACTAACTTTCCCGATGTTTTTGGTGGTGAGCAGATAAGCAGTGTCTACAAAACAAACCGCAGTTGCAAGGCAGGCTGCAACAATTCAGAGGCACTTTTCTTGCCTTCATCATCATGAGCTTCTCCTCCTCTGGTGCTGTGAAACAATTACAAAATATTGTACAATATGGAAAAAACACAAGCAAGGCTCATTTACCAAACAGAGTCCTAGAGTTCATCTGTTGCACACAGTTTATTAAACAATATGGTATATAAGTAAGAAATGAGTCTTTACCACTATACAGTGAATGCGTTCTCTTATATTTATAGTCATTTATTAACTTGATTTACAATATGAGAAAATTAAATTCCCCCTAATCAAGTATTTCTTTGAGTGTAATGAGGGTCAGTTCCACAATTGAATTTCAAGTTGTGAATCTCCAATGTGTCTTTCCTCTGTGGAAAACACAAACCTAGTGTAAAACTTGACGGACAGGGTATCATTCAAAACGTGGTCTACAAACAACCAAAGCACATTGCACCTCCTTTCTTACAGTCTTTACAGTCGAGGGATTTTTATGACATAAATGTATGACACTTTAAGGTCAAAAAAACAGTTTACTACACTCGCCGGACAGCTTTGTCAAATTTTAAACCACTGAGATGTAGCTTGTACTCCTTGCCATAGTTTTGTTGGAACCAGGTAAAGCTGTGTTTCTCTAGTTTCTGAGGGATTTCTGTCAGTGTCTTCATGTGTGCCTGCATACATGCCTTTGTATTCACAACCTGGCAAAGTCTATTTCCTATTTTTATACAACTGAGTGCTCTTCATAGACAAAAAAAGAGGGAGCAGTCTCTGTCCCTGAACGCATGATCTTGGAGTAATGGAACAACACTAGATAACAATTGCTGGGAATGACAATTTGCAAACAAAAACCTGGCCCAATACCCAGACAAATTATTTTACAGTTTCAACACAAAAAAGTATTACTTTTTTCCAAAGGTACAAAATAAAAAGATATGAATATAATATAATGAAATTGTACATTTTTTTGTTTGAAAAAGGGGAAAAAATAAAAAAAGGCATGAAACATACCAACGCAAACCAAAAAATAAATTGATTATTGAACACATTTGGTCTCAAACAAAAAATATATTCTTTGATTTATTTTCATTACGAATAATCTTGCAATTTTCCCATTATCCAAAGGAAGAAATATATTTCAGCTTGGGCTTGGAAACAATTTCATTCCCTAGAAGTGACATTTTCTATTATTCTCAGCCTAATTTTCTCTTTTCACAACTTTTTACTTAGTACAAAAGGGTTTTCAAACTTAGAACAAAGCTTACAGCTTAAAGAGTCCTTAGGGAAGAAGTGGGAGGACAGGTACCTGGGAGTGAGACTGTTCTTCAGTTCCCAGCAGAAATGCTACAATCCTTCCACAAACTTCTCCAAAGTGTCTCCTGTAGCATCTCCCACCATCCCTAAGTCACTGTTCAGCCCACCCCTGTTGGGTGTGTTAAGTTGTGGTAGCATGGCACTCTGATCAGGTGTCCCCAAGTGTCCCTGCTCCATAGACTGCAGTGGGCCCCCTAGACCTGGGTGGGGGGAACCCGAGTGTGGCGGTGGTGGGTGTTGTGGCGAGGGTTGGGGTTGGTTTTGGATCTGTGGCGAGGGACAGGAATGTGGTGGCTGTGGTTGCTGCTGTGGTGGACAGGGGGACTGGACGGGTGCAGGGGAGCGGACCTGGTTGCTAAGGGTATTGGTTAGTGTGGGCTGTCCAGGGAGGTGGGCTCCACCCTGGGGTTGGCCTGTCAGTAAATGAGTCTGTGGGCTCATTGGACTTGGCTGTGCGGGGGAACCTATCTGCTGCTTGAGGACAGCCTGTTGCTGCTGGGGAAGTTGTTGTTGTTGCTGAAGCATGCGTTGATGAAGCAGGTTTTGGGTGGAGTCCATCCCCATGCCCGATTGTGACATCTGAGCCATGGACGGGAGCTGACCCATGGGCCCCCCCGCTGATCCTGGGCCTGTCTGCATGGCTATCTGCTGCTGCTGTTGCTGCATACGGATCTGGGAATACGTAGCTGCCGTACCCTGTGTCTGTGCAGGGAACTGTCCGGGGTGGCCCTGAGGCATCACTGCCTGCTGCTGCTGCTGCTGTTGCCTTAGAAGTTGTCTGCGATAAATCTCTTGGATTTGTGGGTTGGTGTTGTGTGCTGCATTTACTAGTTGCCCTTGAGCCCCTAGTGCTGCCATACTCTGCGCAGGGGGCTGCTGTTGAGGCATCCCTGGCCTCTGTACCGTTGCTCCTGGCATGGCCATAGCCTGCATTGGGGGCATTCCAGGCTGTGGTTGCTGACCAGCCTGCTGTTGGTGCTGTGGCTGGTTGGCATGGTACTTGGCTGTTCGCTGTTTTATAAAAGCAGCCATTAGCTGAGGGTTAGATTTGAGGATGTTAAGAACTTGTTGCTGCTGCTGCGGCGAGCTGGGAGACTTGAGTGTACGCAGAAGCTCTTGCAGGGCATTAGGGGCTATTGTACCAGTCCTCTGGGGCGTTTGTATACGGACACCAGGTTGCTGTGGTATCAGCATCCTCTGGCCTTGCTGTTGTTGCTGTCCTGGAGCCATTAAAGCTCTCTGCATGGTCACTGTCTGCTGTGGTGTCTGACCAGGAACAAGACCTGGTTGTTGGGTCTGAGCTGCCTGCATGGGTCCTGCAGCTCCAGGCCACTGACCTTGAGCAATTCCAGTTTGCATGACCTGTGGTCCACGGGGTCCTTGGACCATTTGCAACTGGGTCTGCATTGGCCCAGTCATGCGCGGCTGAGGCTGTTGGGGGTTCATAGACAAGCCGTTACGGTAATTCTGCTGGTTCTGCTGGGCTTGTGCCATCATCTCAATGCGTCGTGCCATTTTGACTGCAGCAAGTGGAGGCTGTTGCTGTAGCTGCTGTGGGGGCTGTGGTGGCTGAGGGAGAGGGGACTGCTGCTGGTGTAGAGGAGAGGCCTGAGGCCCAGGCTTTCCCTGGGAGACCGATGTTTGAGGCTGGCCATTGCGCGAGGCGTTAGGAAATGAGGGAGACATGACACCTGCTGAATTGGGAGTGGGCGGCTGGCTAGAAAGAGGCTGCTGGGGTGTTTGAGGTGTGTTGGGCTGGCCATGGGAAGTAGGAGTACTAGGAGCAGCTGATGCCGGTGGTGATGGGAGGGGCATGGTTCTTCCTTGCATGGTGGCCATTCTCCTACGCATTAGTTGAGCCTGCTGAAGCCTGTGCTGAAGCTGTTGCTGACGTAGCTTGTGCTTGATGTTTAGGCAGAATGGTACAGGACACTTGTTCTCCTGACAGTGCTTTGCATGGTAACAGCATAGAGCAATAAGCTGCTTGCACACAGGGCAGCCACCATTGGTTTTGCGCTTGCAGCCTTTGGTGTGTTGAACCACTCGCTTCATCTTCTGACATGATGGTAATGAGCAGTTGGCGTTGCGGCACTGACAAGCATGGACCAGGGATTGGATGCAGCGCTGGATACTAAGCCGTCTGCTTTCTTGTGGGCTCTTGGAGGCTTCTCCACTCTGACTGTTGCTGTCATCGTCCAGGCCAAGACCCCACTTCACCATTTGGTGGTCATGGCCCTTTGTGTTATAACAGTTGATGCAAAGATCAAAGTCCTGCAAAAAAAAGAGAGTGTTGAAACAGCAGTTCCATGATTACTAGACAAATACCTAAAAGGTTTGAATAAAGTTTGAGTGATCTGTGACATACATTGCTATGATGACAAAAGTGTAGCACTGCATGTAACAAGAAATTAAGCTGGTAGTCCCCAAACACATCACAGTTTAGGATAAAACAAGGCTCACAAATGATGCAGGATCAGTTGGTCATATAGGACAGCCTACAGATGCTGTTCTGGATGGCTTTTCCTGCTTTTGTCGCCATCAACAGCAAATACAAAGTGCATTATAGCAAATGTATAACAGAAACCCACCTCGCAAACAGTGCAGTGCCAGCGTGTTTCCACATGGTGCTTGCACTCATTGCAAGTGTAGACAAAGCGGTCCTGTCCCTGGTTGTGCAACTCAACCAGCATGCACATGGTGCTCCACTTGCACCTCCTGAGGGAGCTGAACTCCCAGTGCTTGTCCCTGGCAAGAGTCAGAAACGCATCCCGGCCATCCATCAGATCACAGGAGAGCAAGGGGTCAGGGTCAACAATAGGGGGCAGAGTGTTCACCATGGGGGCAGAGTGGAGATGAATGACAAAGAACACCTAAAACAAAAAAACTGAGGTTAAATGATAATTGCTCTTTTTTTCACATATTTGACAATTCATCCATAGCCCCGGATAAGCGGACGATGATGGATATTTGACAATTAAATGTAAATTTGTTAATTGCATTATTATACTATATAACGCTGCATTTTAAATAAATACAATTAAATCAAATCAATGAAGTCTGACCTCTTTGTGCTTCTCCATTGTGGCATAGAGCTTCTGTGATAGGTCATTGGCTACATTCGGCATCCCAGGTTTCTTCTTATTGGCTCGGCTCACACTGCTCTTATTTTTATTGGTCTTTTTATTGTTCTTCTTTTTAGCGTTTTTGCTGTCTCCAGGTGTGCCCTAGGGGAGACATGCAATGACATTTCTCTTAGGAAAAAGCTCATTGAACGATTCACATTTTTCCACAGGATTGACAACAGACCCTAAGTAAGCATTTTGTGCTGGTGCCTAGAATTATTCCATGTTCCATTGTTTTTCATGAAATCTTTGGCATCATGACCGCACAACATTCCTTACCTCTGGTGTGTCAGAGGCAGCTGTATTTTCCTCTTTCTTCCTCTCCTCCTCCTCCTGCTCCAACTCCTTAATGCTCTCCTCCAGCACATTGGGCCAGAAATCGCCTTCAAAGTAAGGAAGCTCATTGGCACTGGTAAGTCGATCCTCAGTTGCCTGTTTGAAGATGTCCTGGGAGAACAACATTCATTCAATCAAAACAAACATTCTAACAGGCATACATTTTTATTTTTTAGTTACATAATAGGACATATTCCTTACCTTATAGTCATGTAGGATCCGCTCCGCAAAGGCTTTTTCCAGCATCTTTCTGTACCACTCCTGCAGCCTCTTAGGCTTGGGGATCTTCTGATCAGGAGGGTGGCAGTGGAAGATGTAATCGTCTCCTTCACTTGGAGGACAGGCCCAGATGTGCCCCTGGGCATACCTGTAGAGAATTAAAAAAAAAAAAAAAAATCAGTATCCCTGTTCAGCTAAGATGAACTCATCAGGCTTGATTAAACACTTCAACAGAAAAAGATGAAACTTACCCAAGCTTCTTGACATATTCTAGATAGCCAATAAGGATTTCATGGTACACTGCTGTTCGAAGAATCCGAGGTCTGAAGAAGTGAATACTGTCAAGGTACGATATGTAGACCCGTCTGCAGACAAAGAGGGTGGAGAGGGTTAAACATGACAGGAGAGATGACATAATACCATATAGTACATGACATAACGAATCGTACAAACCTAGTGTTGGGAAATGAGCACTCAGAACCATACTCCTGCACGTGCATGCCAAAGAAGCAAACATCTACACCGTCAATTTCCTCAAACGCAAAAAGTGCTTTGGTTAAGGTCTCAGGCATTTCACCCATGTCAACAAACCTGGCAGGAGAAACACAACACAAATACTTCATTACATTATTACTCCAAAGCCATGCATTTTACTTAAATTTACATAGTACATTGTCATCAAGACAGTTTAAGCTTTAAAGGTCTTGTATATAATGCAATGTTACTGGAATGGCCCAGAAAAGTTTATTTTAACTATATTTTGACTATCCTCAGGTATCTGTGTAGCTAATGGTCTCACCTGGTTTTCATGCCTGGTTTCACCTCCACAGTTTTGTCAGAACTCGCAACTACTCGCACAAACACTTCTCCAGCCTCTGGATGGTTCTGTCTCTTCAAGTATTTATTCACACGATCCTCTATGTACATTCCCAATCGAGTTGACTGCAGCCCTAAACAAATGAAAGATTTTTTTTGTAAGAATCTATTTTGTTGGATGAACATCAATCAATTCAGAGAAATGATTGTTAACTAAAACAAAAAAAAACTGTATTAAAACTAGTTTAATCTATATACAATGTCACAGACCAAAGTAACATTTTTTATCTATAATATAGCAAACAATTAAAGTCTTGTTTGTAGTATATATATATTTAGAAAGAATTGCATGCAAAAACACGAATATTTCAAACAGTACATCAGATGCTAAACATCATCAGTCACTGCACTAACTTTTTGCCGAAAACTTGTTTTCCTTCCTCGTTTTCCCGCTCTTTTTCAAACAGTTGTCACAAATAAATCTAAAAGGGTAAAAAGACAAAAAACACAGTACAGTTTATGTTGAATAAAAATAAGACAAATATAAATAGAGAAATTATTCAAAAGCCTTACCCTGATGGCCAAATGACTTCATAATGGAGGACACATATCTGATGCATTTTCCTTCCACAGTCTTTACATTCAACAAACCTAAAGAACACCAGACACATGCAAGGGCCATGATAATGTTGTTTATTTATAATGTTAGTTATTTCTCTTGTTCACCTGAGATTCTTTTATTTCAAGAGATATTTTTGCGTTACCTTTGTTGAGTGCAAGGAAATCCAATTTATTTATTTTTTCTAAAAGATATATTAACATGTACATTAATGCTATGTGACTTTAATTGAATAGCATAGTTCAAAGAATGTAAAACATACTTTTTATTTAATTATCTTCAGCTATTCAGTGTTTGAGAGTGCATAAAAGCAGGGACTCTGTCAAAGCTTAAAAATCTGAAAGAGACAGGAACTGTATGCAAAATGAAATATTTTCTTATTTATTGCCTGTTATATCATCATCTGAATATTGAGGAATGTCACTGCATATTTTGTTCCTATCGTGTAAGCCCTGTGTGTGAATGTTTAAATACTGCATTCTAGCTAATAACAGCTAGTGTCACTAAAGCTTGAGAAGAATAGTTTGAGTTAGATAGATAGATACAGTAGATAAATAGATAGAACTTTATTAATCCCTCGGGATTAATAAAAAATAAAGGACTTCCCTTTGGGAAATTAAGGAACTTATTTAAGAACGTTGATTAATAAATGTTTCACAACTCTGGGTCTGTGCTGTCAAAGTCATCTACTACAAGGCATCATACACATGATTTAAAGGGGTTTAATTCATGAGGATTTGTAACTGAGGTGTCAAAAGTGTAAAGTGAAAGGAGCAACATGTAGTCTTGGTCTCTGTAAAATTAAAGGAGCGTTGGTGGTATGTACTCACGGTTCAGGGTCGAGTACGTCATTCTTCTTCCTTTCAAACTGGTCTTTAGATATCATTCTGATGTGTAGAAGAAGGAGATAGAAGAAAAGGATGTGTAAGAACAAAACATTTGCACAATGTTTGCCCATAATGTTTTGTTGGTTATTGTGACAACTTCCAGTTTAACGTTAAAACATAAAATTATTTAGTGTCATCTGCACTTAGGACAAACTAAATTACAATAGCGCATACAAATATTTGTATGCACCAACGTTTAATGTGTACAAAACACTGGTCAGTTCACTTACGTCTGTGGCTGTGCTGGATCATCCCCCAGTGTCACACTCTCCCCCTGGATCTCATTAAAGCACTTTTCACAAAAATGGTACCTATCAGAACACACAATGAACATTCAGCACATTCAAAGATACACAGAGTTAAGCAACAAATAAGAATACCACAGACAAATGTGTTCTATTTGCTGTACTGTAAAGTAGGTGGGTGCTTGTACACTTTAACCTAAAACCACAGTGTACAAAATAACTTTGTCTAATGAACAGCAGGAAATCCCTGAGCTCCTATTGAGAGTGTAAATGGACAATGCTGTAGAAAACTCATGCTGTTTTTCAGGCTCAGCTGCTCAGATCCTTATGTGCCTTTCAGTGTGTCTGAAAAAGCGATTACACTGTTCATACAGCAGGGGGTGCAAGGGAATGCAGAGTAAACCTTTACTTGCAGGTTTACAACTTGAGGGAGAAAGGCAGTGATTAGCATTGCTTTGGGTTTCATCAGAGTATTATATTGTGTTTTACTGTCAGTCAACTTCATTGCCAAAATAAAACAAAATTAAAACAAATGCCAATTCAAAACATTTTAGCAGCTTGATGCTCTGTAGAACCTATATTTTTTATTCTCAATTTATTATAAATCTACAGAATTTTATGTTATATGTTACAATAATTACACCAGCAAAAATCTACACTCATTTACTATTATCTTACCTGTTCTGGTAACTGTAGTATGTCCCTCCTGTAGGTATTGTGCAGAGCTGTTTGCCATAGCAACACAGAGTTTGAGGAGAGAACTCATACTGCAGACACAAAAAAGGACAGAAATGGTCAAAACATTTACAGAAAATACTGAAACAAACAACAAATATTTTTAGAATTTCAAAGTTGTTTAATCATTCCTCTTCTTTTATTTCAAGCTGGATTACAAAGATATTTATAGGCAGAAAAATAGAAATATGCTTTTTAGTTTTGTTAAAAGTTGATACAAATGGTATCAATAATAAGTTCACTGTACCTTCCTCCCACAGCAGTAGCCAAGGCCCTGCATGACAGGATCAATCTCTGACTCAAAGACCTCTGCCAGTTTGGAGCAATACTTGTAAACACGGGATGTTTTGCGGTTGTAGAGCCAAGCATTGTTAAACATCAGCCAGACATCATCAACATATTGCCACGGTTCCTGGTACTGGCCTGTGTCAAGCTTTCTCTTTATTGTAGACAGATCGATGGGATTCTTAACGATGTCAAAGTAGTCCTAGGGGTGGAGAGAGGACGCTTAGGTTTGGCACATAATGGGCGCACACAGAATGAAAGAAAAAACAAATCTTAAGTTGTACCTACCGGGATACCAAGAAGCATGGGATCTACAGGCTGCCTGAAAGGCAGTGACTCTGGATCCTGCCGGTAGAGTGACTCCAAAGTTGGCATTAGAGCCTGTCGCAACTCTTCCGGTTTAAAAACTGCAATGTATTTGTTTTAATTACTGATGATGCCCACAAATCTTTTTTAATACTTTAAAAAGAAAACTGTTATTTTTTTTTCCATCTCTATAGTCTCACTTTTCTTCCGTGACTGAGACGGGGATGACGAGGTTGTGCTGTTGGCTCCTCCCTCTTCTTCTTCTTTGGGTTCTGTCTTCATTTCCGGCTTTTTGTCCTCTACCTCCATAGGCTCTGGCTTTTCCTCTGGCTCTTCCTTCTTTACTGACACTGAAGCAGTATCATCCTCAGTCTACAAAAAAAATGCAAATTGTAATTGAATCTTTAACGCTTAACCTCAAAACAATAAACAGTTTAAAGGCAGTTAAATGTGGACTATGACTGAATTAAAAAAAAAATTTTAAAACTACAACTTAAAAAAATCTTTGAAGACTTTAGAGGCTTTAACAAGAACAGACTATCAACATGTGTTATGCAATTCATGAAAGTGAACATGCTACAACACACATTAAAAACCAGGCAACTGGCCATACTGGACAGACCCACCTCCATCTTAATCTCAGTCTTGCCGCCAGCGGCCTCAAATTCTTGTTGCTCGTGGTGTGTCTCTGCTTTAATCTCTTTGACTGGCAGATCTGCTCCTACATGCTGTGAGTGGAGGTCGGCACTGGCAGCTGAAGCTGGTGTGGGCACCCGGTTATCCAGACTGGCTCCTGGCTGAGACAGCTAAAAGACAGAGGATAAAGGGGAAAACGAAACAGGGGGAGAGAATAGGCAATTATGAGGAATGTGTAAAAGTTTGACTGCTGTGTTGCATGCAGGACTATTACAATTAAAAAGCAAATTCCATGTCGATGTCATTATATTCATTCAATAACATTTTACTCTTTCAATAGCTAACATTCCCATTATGATGGATGCAGTGAAGATGCGGAAATACGAGAACTGGATGTAGATGGGACGAATTGATCCATGGCAGTCAGAGGGATGGAAGGGTAGGTTCAGAGTGGAGGGCATGCGTAGGGTTCTAAGTCTCACCGGCGTGGTAGGGGGCTGAGGCAGGGGCTGCGTCTGTGCTGCTGTGGAGAGCTCCACCTGAGGTTGGGGCTGAGTGGGACAGGGAGTGGTAGCACCCTGAGATTGTACAGGGCCAGGAAGAGTGGGGGTTGAGCTGCGGCTTGAGGGCTGGGGATGTGGCAGGTTAGTGGCTCCCCCAGCTGTGGAGGCAGCAGATGGAGGCGTAGAATGCATGGGAGTTTGAGAGGAGACTAGCTGAGGGCCTAGTGAGGACCCGAGGGCATTGGTAGGGGGGTTAGCGTTCTGCTGCTGCTGCTGCTGGAGAGAAGTACACACACAAACGGGGCAGGTGGACACACAAAGACACACGGGTGTACAAGCAGACAAACACATAATCGTAAGATCAAACAGACAAACAACACTGTTCACAATTTTGGGTCCAGAGACCATCATGTGATTGGTATGACAACAATGTTAGAGCAATTAGTGGGTAGTACGATTGGTAAACACATTATGATTCAAGCTCCCCAGCTGGACACCATTGTTAACAACTGTTCAGCACCATTAAAAACCATAGTTAAAAGAAACTTCACACTTCATTTTAGTCTGTGTCTCACCTGAGTGACGGCAGCCTGAGCCTGTGGCTGACCCATGTTAGGCCCCACAGTAGGGATTATGGTGCCTGTGCCCGCAACACCATTAGATCCTGGAGGGAACGGAGTCTGAGCAAGAAACTGTCCTTGATTGGCCGTCTGGCCCACTATGTTGCCGCCACTATGTCCAGCCATCATGCCCTGGGCTTGTGGCATTCTGGAGGGAGACATGCCCATCTGCAAAAAAAACAACAAAGTATTGAGTATAGCTGTAAATATTTACCCATTAATTGTCATTGGTGAACAAACAAAGTACAGGCCAATAGGTCACTGACATTCTGTCTGTACAAGGTTGAATTTATGATGTTAATCATTTCCAACCAAATCATGATGAGACCGTCAATGCAGGAAATCTCTTCATGTGTAATATCAGTGTTTAACAAATGATTGCAGAGAATCTTACTAAAGATATTGCAGATATCTGTTTATATTTTTAACATTAAACTAGAAAAAAACCACAACTCTTAAAGTTAAAAGGAGTACTTGTGGTAAAGAAGACAGCTTATTCTTCCAACATTGTTTAACCAAACCATCCTTAATTTGCTTAAGCAGACAAAGGATGTTCACAATGATATGGTGCACAGGTGCAACATAACCAATACCTGATAAAGTAGGTTGGTTAGAGTGAATTCAGTCCAGAGGTCTCAGTCAGTTAAGTGTACTTAACCAAAAACAAGAGAATGGATTGGCCAACTCCAGCCTGTGTCCCCTATTTTATTTTGTTTATTTTCATTGTCTCATCAGAATCAAAAATTGGGAATTAACGGACATATATAGGCATGTCTTGAACTATTTGTTAAGTTCAATCTTTTGAACAAGCTGATGCATTTGTTAACCACCAGCAGGAGCTATTACTGGTGTAGTTGCATGGTTGTCCTCACCACTGGGACGGAGGTCATGTTCATTTGCTGTGGATGGTTCATGGGTGAAGCAGCTCGTGCTCCTATTGGTGCCTGGGATATCTGGGCATTTGGCAGTGCCATGTGGTTGAACTGGTTCATTCCTATGGACAAAAACTATGTTATATTTGAAAATGTTGAAACCCTAAATACTATAATAAATGCCTTTCTGTGTTATGAATCAAAATTCAAGAGCAGACTATAAAAATCTTTTTTGATACTGAAGGTTCATTTTCCAACTGCCTGAACCCTTGTAGATTTTTCTCATTCTTACTTAAACTAAAATATTTTTTATATCCTTACAAATGTTCTATCATTCTTCTTAAACTGCCACAAAACCTACCTTGTGAGACTTGCATGCGATTCATGATCTGATTTGGCAAGTTTGGCAGGGAAACAGGTCCATCTATATAAAAAAACGGACAACATGCACATGTATTCATAAACCAAAGAACCTATGCCACAACACCAAATATATTATTTCTAAAAATAATACTTACTCTGTGGCCTTGGACCCATGGCATTAGGCTGTGTAAGGCCTGGTTGTTGGGTGCCCTGAGCAGCCATCGGTGTCTGGGTAGTATTCTGCTTCTGTAGCCTTGAACGCCTCTTTTCTTCCAGTTCCTTTTGGATTTTATAGATTTTCTCAGCCAAGGATTGATAGTAATCATCCTATGGTCACAGTTTGTTTAGTGAAGACAACATTTGACCAAACTAAAACAATAATTAGCTGTCAGACCAAAAGTCTTACCAGACTTTTAGCTGACTCGTACATGTCTCCTTCCACCTTTCTAGCGTAGGCCACCAGGTTCTCCATTCTTCTGTCCTTTAAAGCAGCCGGATCAGGGGTAGGAAATATGGCTTGTACTCTGCCGTAGAAGACAAACATAGAGCCATGGGTGAGGTTGTTTCTTCTCTCGAGGGAGCAACAACATAGGAGAACAATCCCCATACCCTAAATGCAGGACTTCAAGAGTTCAAGAGTTCACACTTACAATTTATGAACAAGGTGATGACGCAGGTCTTGAGTGACATGCTCATGCCAGGCTTTCCTGTTCCCAGTGACAGGGGCTGCAGCCGGTGTGTTTACCATTGATCCCACGGCTGATCCATCTGCTAGCAGCTGACTGGATTTTTACAGAGAATGATAAACGTCAAATGTGAACAGATACTCTGCATTTAAGTGCTGTATAAACAGAGTCCAGCACATGAAATACAAGACACTGCAAGTACTAACTTATTAGTGTTTAGTGTGTTGGGAAGAGCATCTGTGTGAAGGCTGGTCTGTTCTGAAGTGGTTACACCCATGGCCGCACCTCCAAGAGCCATCTGGTTACCTATAAAACAGAACAATGTTATCAAAGGGCACACGGTGGCTTCAAACTATAACTGTACATTCAGTTTGTTTAAAATGGCCACATCTGCAATAAACAGAACATTATACAAGAGAAACAGATGGCGAATGAGATAGCCTTATATTTTGTCTAAGCTACAATTTGATGCTAACTTAAACTAATAGGAATATATAAGTTCAGCTAGTTCACATGATTCTTAAAAAAGTTACAGTCAAGCTCATATTTTTGTAAATACTATTCAATACTAGATAAAATTCAGACTGAATGTTTTCTCAGAAAATACAAACTTTCTGTGGTTTTACCAAGCGTATTGATGGGCCTCATCTGCTGGGAAAGCTGTTGCTGGGTCTGTGCATTTTGTGCCCCTGCCGTCTGCCCGGGAGCCTGCTGGGCCTGAGCTTGCCCAGTGGGCTGACTACTGTAGGGCAGTCCAAGTGCTGCGTAGGCTCTCTGCATGGAGCTGGGATCTATGGGGGCTGAGGTATTGTTGGTAGAAGCACTAGGCTGACCCACACTGACTGAAGACATGGGGTTCTGAAGGCCTGCAGTAGGAGAGCTCAGCATAGCTGAGAAAAACAAGAGATTCATTAGTTAACCATAGTAACATCAAAACACTTTACAGTTAGTTGACAAGTTGTAGTTTTGAGGGTGTAGCATACTCTGTAGCTGCTAAGCTACAGAGTATGCTACACCCTTAGCATACTCTGTAGCTGCTAAGCTACACCCTGACTACAGCAAAAACAAACATTATGTATTTTGATGTAAAACAAGGTGAAGTTTATGTGTAAGAATATAAACATATTCAGGAGACATAGATGCTAACATTTTTGGTTCAGAACAAGTTGTTTACTCAATAATTGGAAAGTGAGGGTGAGGCATGCAGGTATATAGGGAATCATTAAACATGGAAGAAAATTTATTGCAGAACATGAAAAAACAAGCTGTGCAGAAATGATGTCTGTTATATGATGTGGGAAAAATGACTCTCAAAAGGTTATAGAAACGAGGTTGAAGTATACACCATCAAAACCATCACACCATAAAAAACAATGTCTAAAACATACTCAGTACATCAATAAATCAATCCGAGGGTGAGGAACATGATACACTGATAGTTCAACCTATTACAAAAAATAAAAAAAAACTAATCACTGTTAACCAATCACTACTAGCTATTTGTGCTTACGCTGCTGTGTGCGCTTGTCACTGGCGTTCTTCAGTGGGAGGCAAACGGGACAATCATGTCGTGTGCAATTTTTCCAGTGGGAAATGATCTGTCTGGAGGATGCACAGTGGGCCACTACAAAAAGCATCAGAAAGACCGAGAAGAAATTTAAAAAAGGCACATTTATACGTAAAATTATTTGTTTTTGAGACTTTCTGGAGGTCAACTATACTGTTGATTCTGATTACTTGTGATGTACTGACAATATTATATAGTTATATAGTATATTTTAAGTTCTCATTGTAAAATAAATGTATTACAGTTCCAATAATTGCAATTATAATATTTCCGATAATTCAGCAGCTCTACTCGTAAACAGAGTGGAAAAAGCTTGCTAGATTTTCAATATTGTTACACCAGAAACTTTACAGTTTTGGATGCTTCAATGATATAACAAGAAGTTTTAATTGTACAAACACTGAAACATCTACACAATTTTATAACAATTTCTCTGTATATTTTTGCCAACTTACCCTGACAGGATTTGCCTGCTTGGCAGTGGGTCATGTGGTTGAGGACGTTCTTCATAGTGCGGCAGTGAGGTAGGGCACAGGCCCTCACCTCCCCATTGGCCTGCTCCCGCCGCTGGCACTTGTGCGCATGCAGCAGCAGAACCAGTTGCTGCTGGATCAGTTTGCGTTTCTCTGGGTCAGCTGTAGGTCCTGCAGAAGGCACTGCCACACCTCCACTGCCAGCCAGGGGGAGCATTGCCACCTGCTGCTGAGGCTGCTGCTGGAGCTGCTGCATGTTTGAACATAAGACAATGTCAAAGCGAGCAATTATCTTTAGGTCAAGCCCCAATTCTTTACAATATTAAATTCATATAAGTCACTTTGAATCAGAAAGCTATCCTGAGAACGATCTTTGGCTTTAATTGTGGCATGCACGTTGGTATACAAGGTATGGCATGCTTTCATTTCTCTTATGAAATTTTAAATTAACAACATAAGACCAGTATATTACTAGACCCTGCAATCTGGAATTGGTAATACTCGAGTTTAGATCAAAATCCCTTTCATAAAGGTGACACAGTCAAGACTACATGCCATTCATTTTTTTTTTTAAAGACAAAGGTTGAACACAATAAACCTAAAAATGGGTGCCTCAACATCAATACAAAAAGTGACACTCATTCTCTAATATTATAGATATCAGTACTACAACCCACCTTCCAGCCACTAAATACACAAGACACTAACCAGAGGAAGATACTGGATAGTGTTAATAAAGGACCTAAGGTACAGTATGTTTTACTGCTAAGGACCAATCAACATTAACTCAACCACTGTCAACTTCTATTACCCAAATTATTGTGAGGCTACTTGTTTTTCTTTTTACATCATCACCTGTCTAAAATTTTAGCTCATCAATGACACAAAGCGAAAGAGCAACGGACAGACCAGGATGACCAAGAAGATTAACCAAGCCAACCAACAAAGGTAGTTCTAGCCAGAGTAAGTCAGACATCTGTGCCTTTGCCATGCAGCTGTTGACAAATGTGACTGGACAAGCTAGGCTCTTTAGGTAAGTCTAAAGCAACTACACTTTGTAAGCAAGCAATAGAATAAGCAAAAAATGTCATTACATCTCAGGCATGCCCAAACTGTTCCACGAAGGGCCGCTGTGGCTGCAGGTTTTTGTTCCAACCAACCAAGAGCACATAGTTTGACCAATCAGCTGTCTGAAGACTGAGACCAGTTGATTAAACCAGTCAACTCAGGTTGGAACAAAAACTTGGTTGGAACAAAAACCTGCAGCCACAGCGGCCCTTCGTGGAACAGTTTGGGCACCCCGATCTACACCTACACTACAACATTAGCTTTGTGCTAGAGCTGGTGACAACAAAGAATAAAAAACTGCTGAGAACTGTTAGAATCTGGCCAGCGACTTCTGATCATGTCTAACAAGCACTCACCGCATTTGGTACGCTGTTGACAGCAGTCCCCTTGAGATCATTAGAGAATGGTGGCAGACTGTTTGCAAGGGCGGCCTTGTTCTGAAGCTGCTGCTGCTGATGGTTGAGCTGCTGGCCCGGCCCTGCAGCACCCTGACCATAGGGCTGGGTGCCAAAAGGAGCCCCATTACTACTTAGGCCAACCTGAAAGAACGAAGAGGATTCCAGATAAATGAATTACTTTCATTGAAATCATTATTTTGCCATGTCTACTTTCAACACAGTATTACATATAACAACAACAGGGCCTGTTTTTAATCAATATCAATCCTTACTTTTAGATCCAATAATGATTCAGTAATCATAATATAGTTTCTACCTTTGCTAGATCAATGTTTGGGTGGGCCCCACTAATGGGTACCAGAGACAATCAGCGTATCAATAGTTGATATATTTTGTTGTTTTTTCTCTTTTTTCTTTATATTTGTTCATTATATTTAGTACTAATATTATTGTGCTGGTGCTTTATTTTCAGATATATTGCTATGAATTACACCACGGCTGTTCATATGGGCATGAAAATAAATGAATAATTATTTTAAAAAAATATATCTGGTAGTAGCATTTAGATGAACACTGAATCGAATTGATATTAAAACGTAGAATCAAAATTGAATCGAGAGATTCTTAACAATACCCACCACTAATTTCCACGTTTTCCTTAACCTTTTGTCTTTGAAAACCTACTCACATAAAATACTGCAAATTAGAAACATATTTTTAGAAACAAAATCATTCGAAACCTTGAAATAAAACATACAATGTGTAGGATAAAGGCAAATATAATCAACTGCAATTTTCAAAAGTTTACTGCGGAGTCCTGAATATAGCTGTAAATTTGATTGAGGTGCTAAGGGAATTTTATCCATGTTAAAATCCTGCTTTATTACTTATGTATCTAGTTACTCTCACATCTACAGAGCAGATGAGAGATTAGACTAAAAATCTGCCAGGCCAAGCAGTACACCCTTAGGCTGTTGACACCACGCCAGTAGACCAGATAAAACCTGAGCCAACTGAGACATCAAGACAACAGCACCCCTTCACCACAGCTGAGCAGACAAAAACACAAGCACACACACACTTCACCACCTGTATGCTTCTTTGATTATGTTTAGCTCCTCTTCTTCACTCTTCACACATGCCAAGTTTGAGCAGACATAACAGCAGGAAAAATTCACACATACAAAGGGTCATGTTGTAGGAAACCCATGACAGTAGACTGACAAAGAGATTTAGAAGTTGTGACTAAAGTGCAATATTGGAAGCCATGCACAACAACACAGTCTTTTGTGGTTGGAGACATAATAATCACAATGTGAAAGCATTTATAATAAACATACATCATTTGTATCTAAGAGTACAAAGATAATTTTATAAATAGCAACTAGTCATACCAGATGGTGTAGATCCCCAAAAATAATTTCTATTAGAAAAACTATTTTAGCTGCATTAGTTGGTCTATTGGATAAAACCATACAGGGGCAGCCCTCACTTCACAAGAGCATTAATAAGCCTCAACTTCCCATGACCGTATCATCAGTTCACCACTTTTGAACCACTGTAGAAAGGCTACACCCAGGAGCATCAACCTTGAGATTGTCTATCCAAGTTGTTTGACAAAATCCCCCCCTTGGCAAACTTATAAGAACCAGTGTTCTCTGTAAGGATGCACCGAATATTCGGCCACAGAAAATCTTTGGTTGAAAATGGCACATAAGTGCATTTTTCCGAGAGGTGTAACCGACTCTTCATACAATACCGCTAACTTAATTAAACATAAAGAGCGCCAAATCAAAGAGGACGTGAATGTGCCATCGGACATTAAAACGTAAAGAACCGCTGGAAGGCACTTCTGGAGTGGTTCCAAAAGCAAGGTAAAACTCCCGACAGATGAATATCCAAATCCAAAATATCGGGATTGGATCAAAAGTGAAAAAATGTGGATCAGTGCATAATTGGCATAATTTCTTTCGGTGTTTCGGTTTTCAGCCTTGGTTTCCTCATTTTCTGTTCTCCATCCTAGTGCTGCGATACAGGAATGACCATTTTTTTCCCTTGCAGGTCAATTTTTTTCTTCTTCCTGACACATCACCTGGACCAAGGGTATACAACTTGTGGCTCCTGAGCAACATTATGCTCTTCAGCCTCTATACATTCACTCACATTCAGGTTTGTGAATGGAACAAATGGAAACATGGGTCATGCATGCCATGCACAGCATTTAGCCAATCAGAAGGACTCCCAGCTCCGCTAACTTATCTGCAGGAACGGTAGTCAGAGGAGTAAAGAGAATGGCAGGGCTGGAAAGCAGAGCGGTTGTATCAACTAGATACACCACCAACCACCATCACCACCTGCTGCACCTCCATAAAGAGCTGCCAGGCAATTGAAGGCCAGTCAATATAGAGCACATACAGCCAGCATCAGTAAAGTAAGGCGACTTTCACAGCAGCAACAGTTGAGAGTATTTTGAGTGCAACTTCATTAAAAAGAGTAGTCTAATTGATACATTGAAATCACAGAGGCCATAACTCACTATTTGGCTTACCTTGTTCATGTTGCCTGCTGGTTGGGCTGCATTCAGAGTAGCAAGAGTGCCCATCTGCTGCCCACCCTGGTTGAGTGTTTCTGCCAGAGCCGTACCTGCTGCTCCTGGTGTTGTTCCTGGGTACTGGATACCTGCTACTCCAACTCCACGACCTCTACCAGTCCCTGGGCCAAGACCACCATTTAACACTGGCCCTGGTTGGGACGGTGCCCCCTGTGCCAGAAGCCCAGCATGTCCTTGGCTATTGTTTATCATAGTCTGGTTGAAGCCTGATGTGTTTAAGCCCATTGTTGTATTATTGTTGTTGTTGTTCTGCCCAGCCATTCCTGTTGGTGTTCCTGCTTTTTGGGCCTGAGGAGACGTACGGTTGTTTGGAGAGCCTTGGCTAAGAGGGCTCTTACCCAGTGGTGTCCCCAGCTGTGGCCCCATACCACCTGGCTGAGGACTAGATGAGTTCAACCCCGTGCCTGTGATACTGGAGGTACTACCAGCTCGGAGAAGTTCTGAAAGCTGCTTGTGCTTTGCAGCTGCATCAGGAACAACAGGGAGTCCACCTGGCCCAACAGTTCCAGGTGCTGCTCCCCCATTTGTGGGTATCCCACCCATCAAGTTTAGGTCTCCACCATTAGGGATCAATTCATCTGGGAGGTCGTTCTCCAAATCATCCCAGGATAGTGATCCCAGATCTAAGAGACAAGATGGGGGTGAAAGAAATTTGAGTAATTGTAAAAGAAAAAAATCTGCAGTTGCACAATTAAACATTTTTAGTGTCACTAAGCAAAGTCATATCTAAATAAGTAATTGGTCGGACAAATTTGTTGACATTTTTCAGTTGACCATAGAAAATGAAACAAATCCGATTTCCAAATGTATGCATGAGGGGAAAGTTTTCTCTTGAAAAGAAAGCTTTAGCAACTGTTATACATGTTCAGGTGATGTCAAATATGTCACAGGGTGTACAGAAAAACTGAGAGACAGACAGAAACTTTCTGCATGATTGGATTCTCTGGCATCTGTTGTTTTTATTCGGAGTAATAATTTTTTTGGAAAGCACCTGAATGAGGCAGTAAAATCCAAAAACATCTCCTAAGTCAGTATAGAATACAGTGTCTGTGACTTGGCTGGACGGAAAAACATAAGAGTAAGTTGAACAGCTAAACTGTGAAATAACCTCCCAGGATGTAGCAAAGACAACTTCACTCATGCAAAGTTTTTTCCTCCTTCCTTATGCCTTAAAACTTTTGATTTTTCCCTGCAGGTAAAAGCAGTGCAAGTAACAATACACTGGACACAGTAAGGCACCGGTTAACAAAAACAGCGCGACAAGAGTAACAAAAAAGCACTCAGGGTTCTTGCTGGGTAGTAAAGGATTATGTGTGTCACACTATTCAGACTTGTAAGTATAATGTGGGGAGTGCCTAGGGAGCCATGGATTGTGAGGGTTTATACAGTGCTACCCAAAACTACTGGGTAGCTGTCTGTTCATCAAGGCTGCCCTAAACTAATTAAATCAACTTTTCAACAAATGTATTCAAGGGAACATCCAGGTCTTGACTAGATAGAATACCATTGTCAATTAATATGGACAAGGTTTTCTACATATACTTTGGTGTAATAAATTCAATTTAATAACAAAAATAACGTGAAAACAGGTTTCAAGACAACTGCAGTTTTGGGTTCCTGTTACCCAACCTTCTGACAAATTAGCTTGTACAGTAGGTCTGCATAACAGAACCAAAATACTGTATCTGCAGTAGGTAATAGGAGAAAACAAGAAGGACTTTTTACTGCAAACAAATGGATGGATATAGTGCAATATCTTTAGCATAAATTACAAGATTTTTAAGAACAAATGGCATTGCCTGATTATAAGCAAATGAGGAATAATAATAATAATAATAATACGTAAATTTGGTAAGTACTGAAATCAGGATTATTTGAAATTATTTCTCCCTGAATCTGGAAACACAAATTCACAACAAATGTGACATTGTAGTTTATATAGATTCCTTTATATTTTTTTTTGGAACTGTCCTCTAAAATAAAGTATAAAATTAAAATATTTTACTGAAAGTAAACAAAAGTTTATATCAACAAAATAGGACAAAACTCCTAAAAGAAACACTGTCCCAGCCATAACTCACGCTGCCCCTTTCAACTGAGTCCCAATGCTCTCTCTCACACACACTCTACTGACAGTAACATTAGCAATTAAAATGATGGGTAGAACATGACATGTCAACAAAAGACATGGCACTGAATTCAACCACTAACCTAACAGATATTATACAATATACAACAAATGGAACGCTAAGAGCCTGGATCCCTCTTGTCAATATCCGAGTCAGTGTCATTGCTGTTAATTAGTTGTTCAGTGATGATTCCGGTCTTTGTGAAAGCTCGAACGTCATTTGAGACTGATACCTTAGCCCAGGCATCCACGATCTATCCAACGCTCCCACGCAGCTCGCAATTTAACTTTGAACACCCCGTTAAAACCAATATTTAGTGGTTGAAATTCTGTGGTCAATCCACCCGGAACGATGGCAAGCCCGATTTAGTTTGCTTCACTTGGGTTTTGACAATATCGGTGAGATGGGCATGCATGGATCAATAGGGACGAGATTTGTGGAAAAGGGTAGTGACCTAAGTTGGACACAGGAGGACGCTGTTGTTGTTCGCCCCTCCAGAGTCAGGCAGTTGTCACTATTTTTGTTCTGGATGGAAACCGTATTGTTGTTTTGACGCTGTTCCGTGCGGATGTTGTTTTGCAGAGAGAGTGTGTTTTTTTCCTGTATCGTTAAAAAAGGAGAAATAAAAAGAATTCTTGACCACGAAAAAATCAACAGCCATCCTTCTGAGTCCTACTGCATCGCACCATACATTGACAATACAAAAAAGAAGTCTGCGGGTGTTTGGAGGCACAACACAACGTTGCGCGGATTTGGGTTATATAATTGTTGTTGAGTATCTTCTAATTGTGATAACACAGTTAAACGTCATTGTTGGCTCCGAGTGTGCTTCAGTTGTGTGCACTGTGTGGTTTGGCTTTTTAAAGTCAGTTCGAGGTCAGTAAGCGCAACCAGAAGTAATACATAAGGCGCAACGGGTTATGAGGCACACTATTTGGCTCAATATTTTAGAAAATTAAAGGCTTTTAAGTGTGCCTTATAGTGCGGAAACTATAAAACTAAAGAAACGGTAAGTATTTTGCTAAATAAATGCTGCGTCTCTTCTCCTTTTTCTGACACTTTTAGTTACACTGAATTTTAACACCACCAACAGATACACATAAGTTTAGTTTCCTAAAAAGGCTGAAGTGTGTCTGCGTTAGCAGCAAAGCCACATATATGGTAAGTGTAATGGGCAAAATTTTATAATAATTGTTTTGTCAATTACATTCTTTTAGTTATTTTTGTATGTTTTCGGAAACCAAACTTTTATAGATGCATTGTATATTTATGTTACATATATATTTATATTACATATATATATTATAACTCTGGAGTTATACACTCAAAGGACAACTCCAAGGCTTATACTAAGCTTGTGCAAAACTGTACTGTGTGCGATTAATTGGAAGAAAATTGTCCCTGGGGATTATTTGCCACCTTGCGATTACTACAATTAGTATCACATGATTAGGGTTGCCAACCGTCCCTTGAAAAACGGAATATCCCGTATTTAGAAACAAAAAAAACGTCTCGTTGAGATTAAATTGGACACACTGTGTCCCATATTACATTGATAATCAAAAACAGCCTCTAAATTGTCAATTAATGTAACTGCATTTACTATTTCAAATTTAGTATGTCAAGGGGTCTCCCAGAACTCCCAGGGGACTGAGACAGCAATTAGATAGGATTTCTGTTGCTTTACAATCACACGGCACGACAGTAAAATTGCACTAGCAATTTTACAATGCACAGACAATCTATGACAGAAGACATTAATTGGAAAAAAAACCCTGTTAATTTGCCAAAACTAAAACTGCAGCCTTTGTGATCACAACAACACACATACATGAGACACAATTACAGCTGATGGAGTGGGGAGTTGGCATGACTACGAATTAGCACATTCGCCCTTATGCAGTGAGATCACTGACATTCACTGCTCGGTTTTCCAACTTATTGCTCTCTGCAAAGGTGCGAGTGCCCAAAAAGAAACTCTCCTTTCAATCTATTTTCAAATCCCATCCTGCTATCATCATATTTATGGCTAGATTGTGCTCAGTACAGCCAGGTAAGCTTCAGACAATGTAGCACAACTTGTGTATGCGTGCATAGTGCAAATGTGAATGTGCGCTCATGGATTAGAAATGGCATCAGGAGGAGAGGAGCAATGGGAGAAGATACCAGTCAAAAAAGAGCAACAGTGTTTAGTCAGCAAAAAAGTAAGGTAACTTCAGTAGTGTGGTAAGTGTATCATTGCAAAATGACAAATCAACCAGTACCAACGATCATCAATAAAAGTTGTATTTTATGTAGCAATACCATTATTTGCTCTGCATGTTTACCATCTGGGCTTGGCTAAAATGGACCAGGCTTTGAAGTTGTTGACTTGAGTTACAGAGTGGAATTTATTAAACCTAGACCTTTTTGTGTCTTTATTATTTGCATTTTATTTATATCTGTTATTATTATTATATGTTGTTTCCTCTTACTTGGCTTGAGTGTCTGCTATTGTAAGGTAAGCAAAAGTGACCCCTAAAAAACACACAAGTAGAAATGTTTAGACCTAGAAAAAACAAAACAACCTTTTGAAATATCTATAGTGTGATAGAGTAGCAGCAAATGATCTTCTACTACTTTAGAACACGACAACACAAATGTGGTACGTCTATGCTGTGTTTTGGCAAAACAGTGTTAAACTCCGAAAGCACTGAAATACTTCACTATAGGTATTCTATTTTTACTTTTTTTCTTCATTACTATAATGGCACTCTTTAACCACACTATGGCCCACTATCTGAAGGTCAGTGCTGTACATTATAACTGATGTTAACATGTAATTCAAGGTTTCCTATTAATTACTGAGAATGTGGCAGTCCACCAGTCTCATTTGACCATGGCCATTCCCCAAAAGTATTACTATAGACGGTTGTTTGAGACGGTTCCGACGGACTGTAACACTGGCTGCTGTTCTCTGTGCCCATAGAGGGGTGTGTGGCCCTAAAGGGCTGTGGGCCCTTAGAATTGTCATCCCCCTCCACCCTCTCCCTTCATACAGCAACACTGTATTCTGATTTTCATCAAATCTGGAAATAAACTGGTGTTTTAATGCAAGCGGCAGAGTGGGTCAGTGTTCTTGATTCATTGTTTTAATTTGATAGTTTAAAGATTGTTCAAATGATTGATGTTAAGCTTTATATGCTATAAATTAATGAACAAATGCTTAATTGAATTAGCGAATGAATGAACAAATGAATGAGTAAATGGATGAACAACTTCGTCATCTAGTGAGTAATTGACAAAAATATTTTACACATCTTAGCTGTGTGTGGTGTGGAGGGAGAATGGTGCAGCTTTGACAGTTTACATGGTGTGCATTAAAACACGTCACTAAAACAGCATGGGAAAAGGCTGCAATTGTTGACACTGCATTCACAGCAAAAAAAAAAGAAGCAGTGTTAACATCAGTAGCTATGTCTTCACTCGTAAACACTTTTTTTGAGTATTGTGATAGGATACTCTCACCAAAAACTGGGGCTTGATATAAAACACATAAAGCACACAACCTTTTAAGCTATAACAAATGCAAATGTCCAATTCTTCAATGAATAAATATTCAGCTATAAATGCAGGGTTCTGTAACCTTTATTTTGGTTTCATTACCCGGTGAACACTATTGCATGTGTCAGACTAAAACATTGAAAAGCTTTTCACAATTACAATCTGTCGACATAAGATTTTCAAATGAAGTAACAGACAGATGCTATATGCTTACTTAAAAACACATCTGTCATAATTAGCGATGTGTTTAAAAGCAAGGCAGAGATTCAACGTCACATAACGCTTTCACGATGCAGTCTTTGGTAGGTTCGGTTTTACCCTGCTTTTAGTATGTTCGGATGTTAGTGTTGTTTAAACAAATTACCCTGTGGTAGATCTCTTGCAGGATCGTAGATCAATTAACATACACACCACACGTAGTACGTTTGCGTGACACGTTAGCGTATAGATGCTATTGCAATTACTTCTTACAACGAGCAAAACCACGAAACTGCAGTGAATCCACACAAACTACAGCCAACTAACTGAAATTACAACTTTAACATGTGCTACACAGACAAACGGTGGACTACAGTGGCAACGGTTATGATGCAAAAACAATGAAAAATGTCGGTGTTTATGTGTTTATTTGAAGGCCTTACCTTGTCCATCCGAAGCTGACAGGGCAGGTGAATTTAGCTTTGGTCGTTTAGAGGTGGGAGGTCCGACGTCCAGCAGGTTTTCAGCCATAGTCGCGATAGCTGTTATTTTGCACAAATAACTATATTCACCTTTGTTGAATAAGTTTTAATACCAACACGAATCTTTCCAGTTATCACATTAGCAGGCCTGCTAACGTTAACTAACAGGCTAATCGCTAAGTTAACTGTTAGCGTTAGCTACTGCTTGCTGCTAAGAGTCCGTTCAAAAGAGATGCAATAGCGCCCCGCTTCGCCACCGCCATTCACCCCATGATAATCCAACACCCAAAACCCACATTATAATCGTCAAATAACGCACAATAAAATATTCCCCATGTAAAGACCCAACTTCAGCACGACAGTTTGATAACATCTGGTGGAATTCTGCGCTTCGGAGGGGAAGTCGTAAATTCTAGACCTTCAAAGTACCCATTTTTGTGACGTAAAATTTCTTCGTGCAAAAATCACACGGAGCGCCACATAAATGCAAAATTGCAATAAAATGTCCTGGTTTTGCAAATCACTTCGATTGTCACGGTCTGGTCTCCTTTCGTCCACAGTTAACAATACTGCTCCCAAACGGCGACATGGACTGAATCGCCGCACTCTGAAGGGGAAATCAGATACACGGAGCTTTTCTGCCCGACGACCACCGATTCAGTTGCAATTTTTTCACGCAAAATGTCTCCGACGTGATGTTAAGATTTTGTTTTCGGGTGGATGATGCTCCTATGTCGTAAAAAGGATGCTCAATTTCTATGTAAAAGCCATAGTTTGATCGAAATCCCAATTCCGAGCCACGACAAGATGGCGGCTGTTGATTCCTTCGATACAAAAAGTTTTTTTTCTTTTCCAGATCGACTGTAGAGGGGGAGGGGCCGCGCAATCACGCCCAACGTGAACAATTCTGCAATCGTTCACCGCAGAGGGCGCTAAAACATCGCAAAAGAGGCTGCCTATACAACGTCAAAAAGAGAAATTAATTTAATGGAAAATAACATTCCCTGACAATTGCAGCCGTTATTAATAAAATAAAATACTGACAACATTATTTTATATTTGGAGCAGCCAAATGAATATATATACAGCATATATATACACAGTATATATATGCTATATATATGCTATACATATGCTATATATACACAGTATATATATGCTGTATAAATCCCAAACCCATAGTGAAAAATACTAATAATATAACACTCACACTCAAGAAAACACATATTGAATGTATTTAATAGTATGTGTCTCTTTTCATTTTTTTTCTGGCACAATCTGACACATGCACGTGTATAAAAAATTCATATGTGACATAAAATAACTGCATATGTACAAACAATGGGTTCTTTGTGCAAATGTGTACAGAGTATGATTATGTGTTGGTAATTGATACATGATTAATGTGCACAAAACATACAAAAGACAATTCATTCATAAAAATAAAGCAAATACACAGAGATTCAAAATAAGACAACTTCTATCTAATTTTTGTACCAGTGTAAAAAAAAAAACACATATGGGCTGAATGGGCTGAATGAGGGGTGAAGCTTTTACCATTTAAATGAGTGACTCTATAGCTGTATCTCTACATCTATATCTGTTTTTAAGTAAACAGGTATAAATGAAATATTGAAATTCATTTTAATTGGTTGGTAATCTTTTGATATTTATTTTGGCACTGACCTTTAGTAGCATTTATTTCACTCTCACAAAATGTAAAAGGAATCTTGTCACACATTTATTTGTAGTCATTGATAGGAACAGTTGACAAACTGCAATTACTGCAATACAAAACTGCAACAACTCTACATGTTTTTTGAATGACTCGAGAAATATGATTTTGGATTTACATACTAAAGATTTGATATACAGAAGTGAAGGACAGTTGAGATACTATTATATAAAAGCGTACTTAAAACTTTGTGTCCTGCAGGGAGGAAAATGGAAAATTCATTCTAATGAAAAAAACATTCACACTTCCCTTTTCAAATTGATTGGAAATTTTGCAATGAAATGGGCTTAAAACTAT